GCCACTCGTTGTTGTGCATGTTTTAAATGATCGAGGGGGCGTTCCCTGCATCACCTTGAGCAGAGCAATAGATTGCAGTTGTCTGTCAGTTTTAGGTACGAGTCTTGTGATTGTCTCAGCCGGTTACGTCCGACATCGCAGACACACGCGCTGACCTTCTCCTGATGGCTTGCTGCCCACCCATCAATTTCACCCCTTTTAACCCTCCTCTACTGGCCCAGCAGTGCCTCTGAGCTTTTAGAGATTACCTTAATGGAAAGAAATAAGTGAAATGCACATGCCTGCTGGGTTATGTGTCTTTCTTACCCGGAGCCTCATCATTTTAAGTGTATAGCAAGTGCAACGAGTGGGATCACTGAAAAACGAGATAAGAGAAAAAGAAAACAAAAAATCCTGTTTCAAGTTCAAAGCCTCTTTTGCTTGCTGTTCACTTCAAACCAAATGTCTGCTTTAGTGAAACTTCAGTAGTAGATTTAAAGGTCTGTGTGTAAGCTCGCAGTCATTAAGACGAGAATCACTTGTCAGACCCTTGTCCCCTTTGAAGGATTAGAATTATGTTCAAATAAATGGCTGTGGAATACATTTGAATTTAACACATTGGATATGTTTTCTCATCCTTTAATAAGAAGCATTATTATACAGTCTCAAGCAACCTTGCATATAATAAAAAAAATTGGAATTAGCTCAGTACTGAAATCAAGTGAATTGGGTCATTTCCTGTTAGGGTTGTGAACCTGCTGGTTCTTGAGTTGTGACCTGCAGGATTTTTAGTGGCCTGATTGGTGGTTTTATAGAAGGTTGCATTTAACAGTGTTGGCCCCTCTCCCCTTCTAGTTGTTTGTTTTAGCTGTTCCCATTGGAGCGTATAGACTTACAATCGCCAGAAGCTGTAGGCCTGGCTGATTGGCTTATTTCCTGTTGCCTGCAGCCCTAGCAGACATGCTGGATTTGCAGTTTTCTATTTTCTACATGCTTCTGCTCGATTTTCCTCACCCTCTTCCCTCTTTCTTGTCTGGTTGATATTCAGCTGGTCTGTCCTCCCTGTGCTGTCACAGCTGGCAACCCACAAGGAGGCCTGCCGTGCTTGCGGTAAATTGGGTTGGGTATCAGAGGGGATAGCTCACCTTGCCTTTCACAGCCATCTGCATAACAGAGGTTCTGTTATGCAGATGGCTGTGAGAAACTGAGAAACTGGGGGGGGGGAATGGGCTTCTTCTTACCACAGTATTCAACATGGGAGAGTAATTAAAGTAAAACTTAGAATTAGGTTAGAAAAAATATTCAAAAAAACAAAGAGCTGATTAAATTAGATGACTGAACGCTCGGTTTAAATGTTTATGTTATGGAAAGTAAAGTTTGAGGCCACATCTTAATTATCTGAAATAAGACAAAGAAGAAAATAAAAAAGCTAAGTGAAATAAATAATAAACTAAACCACGCAGAGGGTAAATACAATTTTCCCTTGTAAAGGAATTAATTTATATTTGATTTGCTACTTCTTTGCATGCATGTATTAAAAATGCACTTGAAGAGACAAACAATATGATTTATATACAAAGGCAAAGAAATTCATTTTTCCGCATTGATTAAAAAGAGTGAATAAGACAGTAGCCACAGATCACAGTAATTAAAAAAATAACAAGAAAACAATAATGACACATTCAATATAATCACAGAATGGGCAATTTCACAATCAACTAATGAAACATTGCATCTCTTTAGGGATTTAGTGGCAGGCTTCAGTGCCTTAATAAAAAAAAAAATGTAAACCTGATTCCTTTTATTAGGTGATTAGAATAATCAGCACTGAAGAACAAACACACTCCAAAGTTTGGTCTGGTTGTAAAGTTCAAATCGATGACGTTTTCAGATTTATAACCTTTGTGTTTATTTAATGATCCATCTTCATCATCACAGCTTAAGAAGACACGTATGTGTTAGATGGGGGAGACAGGCAGCATTAGGAGAGTTGAAGTAGATGTTTTGAAGTAGTGCACACAAGTAATTACTGTTTCAATAAACAGAAACAATTTGTCAGGTAACTGCCACAAAACATTTATTTCTAGTGTTCATAGAAATGAATACTGAAAAATTCTGTCAATTTATTAGTTGATAGACAATTAGGCAGTGACTTTCATCATTAATTAATTCTTCCAGTCATTTGAGACAAAATGACCAAATCATCCGATTTCATCCCAAATGTAAATGTAGGCTGTTTTGCATTGTCAAAATAGTATACTGATCTGTCAGGGTTGGACTTAGATAAAAGATTTGAATATGTAATCTTGAATATTATATCCAAAATGTTTATTTCAATATTTTTTTGACATTTTAAAGACCAAATATTGAAAGGATTTGTAATAACATGTCTTCTTAATCTACTTAACAAATAATAATGAAAATAATAGGTAGTCAAAGCCCCTATCAAACATAAATGCAGCTACCATGAAGTTTTCCAGGTGAAAACCCTTTTTTTGTGGCAAAATACTAATATTTTTGTCTTTTTTAAATCCACTATTTACACAAGAAGCCTCAAACTGTATACTGCAGCTGCAATGTGCCAATGGACCCAAGTATAGCATCAAAGTGTTTGAAGTAGCTGTGAATTAATATGTGGTTTTTAAAGACTCCAGAGCTGTTTGCATTTGTGCGGTCTGCAGCCTCCTTATCAGCCTCTCTTATACCCTCCACTCACTGTGACCCACTTGTTAATATGCCCCAAAATATGAAGTTCCTCCACCTTCCTCTTCCAAATCCTTTAAAGAAACGCCTGCTCCACTTCTCCTCTTTCTCCATCTGTGCATATGTTGAGTCGGGCTCTCTCTCCCTGAGTTGAACGTCCAGTTCAGCAGGTGACTGTAGAGAAATAAGTAAAGCACGTAGTTCAGGATTTGGCTGTGGTGATAGAGAATATCATCAGATATGTGAGTTGATAAGTTGTTGTAGGTGGGTTGAAAAATACCTCACGTACTGAATTACCGGCCTACTGTATATAAATAAATCACTGAAGACGAAGGAGACTGGTGAGTCAAAGTTAAAGGTGGGGAGAATGGGGTTCGGTGAATTGCAGGAAAGGAGAATGAAAATGAGTTGCAATATGTGAAACAATAAATTAAAAAATAAATTATCCAATGGTTCATCTTTAATCTGTGGGTCAACCTCCTTTAACGGAAACAAGAACAGAAAAAGACCGAACTGTTCAATCAGGCTGCATCGGTTGTTGTTTTTCCTCTTTTTTTTGCCGTATCTTTTTCTCCGTGCAGGTAATTTCTCCTCCCGTTTGTCTTGTGTAATCTCTCAGTGCATGCCCTCCGCAGAGCGCTCTTTTTATTCAATCAGGTTAATGCTCTTGAGTCTGCTCTCTATCTTGACAGCGCAGCCCGGGCCTCATTGGCTGATCTAGCAGATCTTATCGGCTCTGATTGTGGCCTACCATTGTCATTCAACGGGCTGCCACCTTTTCCTGCAGGCCCTGAGTCGTTGTGTTTTCAGTTTGGTGTGCTGTGGGCCCACGCTGCTTTCTCATGATAAAGGGGTTCACCAGGAACACACCCCATCAAGGCCCTTTTAAGTCCGTTTTAATGACGCTGGCGTCGCAGGGACATGCACAGATTGTTTTGGCTCTCAGTTGTTGTCTGCACGTTTATGTGAAATGACAAAAGTGATGTTGAATAATGTCTTCGCATTTAAAAAAAATTCATATTCTCTCCTGCCCACGCATCTTTTATTCCTGCTTTGTTTAAGATGCTTTGTGTACAGCTTTGCAAAGAGCATTCACAAATTGCAGTTTGGAAAGTTTTTGGGATGTACTTTAAAGCAATGGCTCTAAGAGATGCACATTTTAACACAGCTGAGTTCATTTCTTTTGACAGGAGGTGCATTTTAACTTCTGTCAGGACTTAAAACTTTCTTAAATATAGAACTATAAATGTTGCAGTGGAAGCATATAGCCGACCCAGCTTTTCGCTACTGTTAAGGATTCTCAGTCACAATAATAAGCCATAGTACATAGGCCCAGCTTTGCCAGCCATTGTAATGGGGCCCTTGAGTCAGGTTCTTGTTAGCTGATGTACAATAAGCTGCAGCCTAATGAAGTGTAAACCAGAGATCTGGGAGGCTGCGAGAGGGCCAGATGAAAATAGCCAGTGGCCTTGGTGTTGCAGCGATACACTGCAGCTCAATGGTAATGCTATTAGCCGGGAAGTCAGTCCATTGCGTCTGACCCCTGTGCAGTTTATCAGCACTTCATAATGTAGTGGATGTAAGGGGCAGGGTGCTGAAACAGCTGATCACACTTCAGTTCGGTATCTCTCCGTGAATGAGCACAGAGTGAGAAGTGGGTTCACGACTGAGGCGCAGTGTGATTGCAGCTGCATCAGTGTACCATCGCAGACCCTCTGCCCTCAACAGGCTTCCTCTGTGTTGAGGTTTGTCCACCGGAGTGTTGTAGCCTCCGTCTGCCCCGCTTCCTCCTCCCTTCCTCTGCGTTCATTAACAGTCCATTTGTTGCTCCTGGCCGGAGGAGCCTCCCTCTTGCTGCTCGCTCCCTCAGCTCATCTTAATGAGCCTGTAATGTACAGATGGTCCGCTTCATTCAGTCCTATTGAGGCTCAGCTCTTTTCATTCTTTCAATTCGTGTTAAATCTCTCGATTGATTTTTTCTACCTGCATCAAAGTCTGAAGTTTATTAGGAGATGATGATTAAATGTGTTGTGATTTTAGGAAGCATTCCCTGTGTAAAAATGCATGATAATAATCATCTACCATTTCTCAGGTTATTGTGACACTGTTAGCATTCATAGCAAACCATCTCTCCAACCCTTATGAATACATTATAATGCATATTTTATGCATTGACTAATTGTAATTCAGAGAAAGTGCTATGATTTCAACATAGCACTTTTCTGATGTTCATGTGACGATATTCTGTTGTGTTTGCTCGCATGTCTGTGCACAAACACACAAATTAACCCTTTGCATGTTTCTCTTCTAGCCAACGGCAGGGCCTGTTATCCTAAGCAAGGTAACTCATGGGTGAATGGCTCCCTGCTCTTTTACAACACTTTACATTCATTTGTTTTTTTGTCTCCAGTCCCATTTTTTTTAATTTGTGTAACCATACTGTCTTGTCCCCGGCTGTCTCCCCCTTTATTTTGCTGCATGCTTTCCACCTAAGGCTGTGATGTTTGTCAGGCGCCAGGGGCTGTCAGAGTGATGTGTCTCCTTAGAAATGGACAGCGGAATCCGTCACCTCCAGAGACGAGAGACAGTGAGAATATGTAAAGAAAAAACTGTGTCAGCGGACAGAGGGGACTCTCAGATGGAAGGACGGGAGTGAGTGTATGAGGGCAGAAATAAAAGAAGTGCTCCATAATGTTCCCACCTGATTTTCAGTTGCTCAATTTTCAGTATTTTGTTTTCTTAGAAAAACAATAAAAGCCACTTAGAATGACAAGCAGGTGTATCACAAAGGAATATCCAGCAAAACAAATTCAGTTGAGCCTTTTCCTCTGATCTATTGCAGAAGCATTTTACTTTTCTCATTTTTCTTCCCTTCAGAACTTGAAATCAATAACTTTGCAGGGAACCGCTCCATCCTGGTGGCAAATAGTCTAACATCCCATCCCATTTTCTCTCTGTCTCTCTCTCTCTCCTTCTCTCTTTCCTGTCTCCTCTGTGCCTTAATGTTTCCTCTCTCCTTCTCTCTGCTTCATTTGTTTCCACCTGTGTGTGCCTGCTCGGTGTGTATGTACCCTGAACTCTTTCTGCATGCTTGTGTGGGTGGCGATTCACTTCCTTCTCACTACTCTACCCATTCCTTCCTTCTTTCCTCCTTCGCTTCCCTTATCCTCCTTTCTTGTCTTCTGTCCTTGCCCCCCTTAGATCCCGAGCGTGGAGGCAGTCACATGATCTCGACAGATGACTTGGAATATCCGCGGGAGTACCGGACGCTGGGGAACAGCACCCGGCGCTTCTCCAATGTGGGCCTGGTGCACACGTCGGAGCACCGCCACACCGTCAGTGCTGCCCAGAGCCTGGAGGCCCTGACCAACCTGCACAAGGCCGACATGGAACGCAAGAGGGATGCCTTCATGGACCACCTGAAGAGCAAGTACCAGCAGCAGCAGCAGCAGCAGCAGCAGCAGCTGCAGCATCCACACCACAGCCCGCACCACAACCCGCCATCGCCATCACCCTCCCACACCAGCATGAGGGGCACGTCGGAGCGCTCTGCACGTGAGCAGGTAAGCAGATCATCACCTCCGTCACTGCTAAGCAAATTTGTGTTTGCCTACATGAGGTAAATATTGAGTCCTTTTGAAATTGATGATTATTCATTACTTTTTTGTTTATTGAGATTTCTTATCGCTATACTGGCTCTTTAATAGAGCCTCTTTTTCACAGGTCAAAAAACCCACTAACATCTGTCTTTTGTCTGCAATGCGAATGAATTCAAAATGCATTCACTGCCGGGTCACATGACTTTTATTGGCTCCATCTCCATGATGGAAATATATAACATGTGCTATGAGGGAGCGCCTTAGTTTTTAATGTGCGTACGATTTCGAACATGGTGCACCAGGGAATAAGACAGAGAGGCAAACTCCTCTAATGGTAAAGGAGTAAATCACCTGTTTAAAATGCTTTAAAAACAACAGTATAACTGCTAATTTGGTTGTAAAAGAGGTATCGGATTACCTTTGCCAGGGAGGAGGGTGTTTTCACCTGTTTGTTTGCCAAAAACTAAATGAAACTTGGTGAAAGGATGTTGGTTGGATCAGGGAAGAACCTGTTACATTTTGGTGTGGATTCTGCTTACAAATTATTTGTTTGTTTAAAAAAATCAGACATATTTAGGGGACTGATTTATGAATATGTGTAATTTGGTACAGATCAAAATAAAAACCAGGATCTAGCGAATTTCATAAGGAGACTGTTGAGCCTTGGTGGAACAGGACAGAAAAACTATGTAACATTTCCACAATTGAGGTCCAATCGATCATTAGCAAACATAAGTCTCTTGTCAGATAATAGCCAGGAAGTTTTCATTAAACTGTCACAGCCAAGATCCCTCTGTTTCCATCCCTGCAGAACCTGCAGAACTTCGTGGAGCACAGAAAGTCGCATATTCACACACACACTGAACACACATGTAATGCAGGTCTTGATACACCTGGCGATGATGTTTTTCCTTTGCTCTTCATCTTTTCACCACCTTTATCTCGCTCTTGTGTATCTCACACACACACACACACCCCCACTGAACATACTGTGCTGTACACAAATAGGCTCTCAGTGTGTGAGCACTGCTGCTGTGTGTATTTAATAAGGTAAAATCAATGTAATGACGTGACAGAAGAACACATCAGGGGGACATGGGAGAGAATGAAAGGTAGTAGAGAGAGAGAACGAGTGAGTGTGTGTGAGAGAGAGAGAGAGAGAGTGGGTGAAAGACAGGTGGAGTCCGTAGTTGCCGTGGCAACCTCTCCCATATAAGGCAAGAGGGGATATCGCATTGCAAAGGTCAGGGTGTGTGGAGAGGGAGGAATTGTACAATAATGAAGACTGAGAGCAGAGAGGAATAACGAGTTGAAGGAAAGACAGCAAAAAAAAGAAAAGAAAAAAAGAGTGACAGTCCAAAGGTGACAGGGCATTTTTGCCAGACAGGCGGAGGAGGAAGCAGGAGAAGCCCACGATTCCTTGATATCTTGTGGATGTGCAGAGCGTGGACGGCGAGGGAAGGGGGAGGAGGAGCTGGAGAGGAGCAGAGCAGCCAGTCAAACTGTCGGCTGCTCAATTAGCCAGCACCAGCAGGAGCCAGGCACCCATCTGCGAAGGAGTTAATCGGCTGGTGTTGTAATGAATTAAATAAAGAGTTTCCGCCGCATGTGCTACTGGAGGGAGAGAGAGAGAGAGAGAGGGAGGGAGATTGACTGAGGTAAAGGGAGGGAGGGTGAGAGAAGCAGAGGGAGGGAGAGACGGGCAAAAACGCGATGAGGAGCCGCTGCACCTGACGGACAGCCTGGGATGACTGGATGAGTGGTGGACAGGCACAGGTGCACTGCAGGTGAGACAGGACTGGAAGCTGGAGACTGTTGTAGTGTGTTTGTGTGTGTGAGGGGGGGATAAGGATGTGTAGGCTGGGATTAGATTCCACGCCTCTTGTGTTTGTTGTGGTTGTTGTGGTGACGGTGTGCATACGCTCAGAAGGCACAGAAGCCCGGTCGAGACGATGGCTGAGTGGACGACACTCTCAACTGCACGCATCTGTTGGGGGTCGAGCCTCTGTTCACTGTGCAGACCCTAGTGTGGGTGTTTTTTTTCAAACAGAGAGACAAAGGCTGCGGTAACGTTGAGACACCAAAGTGGACCGGAGGAGTGAGAAGGATTGAGGAGGAGAGGGGAGGGGGGTGCAAAGAGGAGGATGACGACATGAGAGAGAGAGAGACCGGGGGGTGGAGGAGGGGTTGTGTGAGTGCAGTCTGCTTTACATGCTGGTCAGGTAATGCAGCGCTCCACTCTGCGAGGCTACGTCCTTCTGTGGCAAACTCCACTATGCACATTACACACACACACCTCTGTGTAAATCTATACAGGGGCGTCTTTACTTAGCAGTTAGGGGCACATTTAGCCCCTGAGCCCCCCCTAGTTTAATCTGACATCCCAAACAGACATCAGTTACTCTGCCTCCCAGGGACTCGCAGCATATTTATTTCAGTGGCAGGTTAAAAAGGCAAGATATACATTTGAGCAGCAGCAGAGCCTCAGTCAAAAGCATCCACGCGTCACCAGGGATTAATGTGATAACGACTGACGGGATATAATTATAATTTCTACGCAGAAGACATGCTTTAATTGCAGCGATGCTTGCCAGGATGGATAAACGTTACAGCGGAATGGAATCGTCTCTCTATCTCCAGTTTGCTCTCGCTCCCTCCCAGAGCAAGTGTTTGCAACTCAAAGTCCAAGTTCAGTGTATCCGCCTCCGTCAGCAGAGCGGCGGTTACAGCAACACGAGGCGACGAAGAATGAATGTGTTTACTTTACCTAAGAGCTGCGAGCGAGCCTCATTAAAGCAACCAAACAGAGAAACAATGGCAGCGTCGGACACTCAAGACCACAAATCACTTCTGCACCATTACAGCCCTCAGAGTCATTTAGATTTGTGGGAAAATAAAATCATTAACATTGTCTGAGCGTTTATTTATGACACGCCAGTGGTGCCCCTCAGCCGTTGGTTTAAACAAATCGAGGAGGCTGCGGTGAATGAGTGACACACGATGAGGTGGTCAAGGCCAGAACAGGTCCAAAGTGAAGAGACCTCATGTTTTATCTCAGGCCTGACAGTGACCTACTTTACCCACGGCCTCTCCCCCAGAAGAGAAGGCAGCTTTTTGACCACTTCCCCTCGGAGTAGACGTGAATGTTTTATAGCCTCGGATCTCTCACTGTCCAAAAAAGCACCGTTATTTTAGGGTTATTGCTTAATGCCTTTTTCAGATTAGGTTTTTATTTCAGTGAATAATGGAGCATTTAATTCTTTAGACAATTGAGACGCATGCAGGAGGACCCTGAGTTTAAAAATACATACAGAGAAACTGGCTAAAGGACAGATGCTCTCTTCAGAATCAGAAGGAAATATTTTGTTGGTTCAGTAGAATTATTTGAAAATAAATTGATCCAGACTGTGTTGTTGCTTGTTCTGAAAGCTCCTTAAAACCATGTGAGACCCAGACCGAATCCCAACTATCACTAAATAAATAGAAATCAATAAACAGTGAGTATTTGAAGAATATTAGATTAATCTGATTTATGAATTATTATTACCAAACCTAGACCAACATATCGTTGATGGAACATCCTGACACAGACAACAACTCAGCTCATCATTTTTGATTGTAATGGGTTGACTGAAATTTTGGCCATTCATTGCAACCAAATGCAGCAACAACCAATGACCTCTTTGACATGGTGTCAATTAGTTTGCAGTAAATGTTCAGCCCATAGCAGTCTCATCTGGGTTGGGTGAGTTCAAAGCTTTGAAAACACACCCAGTTTTTGCAGGTAGTCCGTCCCTCATGCGATTGTCCAACCACTGACGGAGGAGAGCATACCGACCAAAGAGATCGCCAGTCGAACAAAAGACAGTTTTTAAATCGCCTAGATGCATTACCTTCTTGGATTGTTGTATGTAAAATATTTTAATAGAGCATGAAGATGAAGCATGATGTTGGCGAGAGAGAGAAATGTAAGAATGGGACCAGGGCTAAGTGAAGGAACATAAAGTGAAAGATTAGATTACGATATGGTAATAATCACAGAGAATGCTGCCTCTGATGCTTGTGTTTACTGAAATAATATCGGCTTTTTTTTTGAGACAGTATTAAAATGGAAGGCTCATAATGAAAAACGATCAGCTATCATAAATCAAAACCTACCCATCACTTTTTTTTATCCCTGCGACAGGAGAGTAATGCGGGTGCAGTAGAACCGCAGCTCAATGGGCTGAAAATGGCCTGCAGATAAGAATAAGAACTAGAATAAGAGTTTGGATTAGAATTAAAATTCATGAACTCTGCCCAATCTCTTTTTAAAAAAAATTGAATTCCTGGGCCATCAGTGACTTGGCCTGGTTTGGACTGTGAGGAATTACGTTTTAATGGAAAGCTCACTTCCTGTCTGAGGTCACTGCCAACATGCAAGCACCTTTTCATACATGGCAGAGCCGCAGGTAGGGCAACTGGACAGATGAGATAAATGGCATGTGCTGCTGGAAATAAACGGGCGAGGTTGAGAAGAAAAGAGCGCAGCAGGTTGATCCAGAGTGAAAGAGACAGGAGAACGAGGAGGAGACGGAGTGGTCGCTTGCCTGTGGTGGAGAAGTCTGGGAGAGAGGCCAATGTTGCAACAACAGAGTGGGCTGCCGTTTCATTCGATTTCACTCTTTTCATTTCCTCCCCTTCTCCAGCTATAGCCAACAGTGCAGTTTTGTTTCAGGTGCGTCGCAACCTGATGCCTATAAAACTCAGCTGGCAACGGCATTACCACCAGTCTACTCTTCAGTGATTATGGTTGTTGTTAAGAAAGCTGAGTTAAAGCTCATATATAGGCTACTCGCAAGCATCCTTTGCGTTGGCATGGTCGTTTAGCAATACATCCTCCAGAGGGCAGTGCAGAGTCAAGAGTTTCTTACTAACTCGCAAAGTCACTCTTCAAAACGTTCTTCCGTTACTGCCATGAAATTTCTTCCGCATGTCCTATGGTTGTCTCCCTTAAACTATTGGCTACACTGCCCCTCTGCACAAATACTAACAAAGTGAACGCAGAGTACATACTGAAGGCTACGTCATTTCCTGTATACGTATCTGATGTTAAGCATAAATGAGCCTTAATTGTCATTGCCCACATACTTCAATGTGTCCTTTAAGTTGGAATGGTTGTTAAGCAGTACATCCATTGCAGCCCAGAGTCGAGAGTTTCCGACAACAACAAACATGGTGATGGTGGAGGAGGTTGTAATGTAAACTCCTTACAAATGAAGCAAAAGCAGCTGTTTGTCTCTTTGCCCAGTCAAAGTATCATATAGATGTTGTAGTAGTTTCTTACCAACTCACAAAATCTGTTAAAATGTCCTTCTCGTGTCCGACAGTCCTCTTGCTTGAATTATTGGGTAAACGTGACATGATTTCTGGTGGTACTGTTGTTTCGCTTTTATACAGACAGAATGCTTTGTCAGTTTTGACAACATTGAGCATAAATGAGCCTTTAGATGAAGCTGTCAACAGAATTAATGAGTTTCATAAACGGTCTGTAAGAGAAGAAACATGCTAATTGCTTTATTGTGGAGGATTCATTGTCAGCTTCTACCTCTATTTCACTCCAGTTTATTCAATGAATATTTTTAAAATTCTTTATTTATAGCTGTAAACTAAATAAAGCCTTTATTGGAGACTAAAATATCTAACTCTTCTCTTTTTGTCTCTTTCCGTCTCCCCTTGTCCTTCATGAATCTCCACAGCAACAGCCCAACTACTGGAGCTTTAAGGTCAGTGCTGTGTGTCCCCGTGTGTTTGTCATTCTTCCTGTCCTCTGTGTGTTTGTCTGTGTGTGACACTGTGGTGTGTGTCGGGTTGCGGTGGCATGAGGTGTCATGGGTGGCGACAGCTTAAACTCCTCCAGCTCCATTTAATCTGCAGCAGAAGACGACTCTCTTAGGATTTATGATACCTCAGTCAGCTAGCATTTGTGGCTCGAGAAGTCACGTGACCTTGCAGATATATTACTCAGACTGCCTGAGACATGAAGAAGGAATCAGACTTGTCGCTGAGGCAATATTGAGACAAAGCTTTGACTTGCAGAAATACTTGAGCCATGGGTACAGCTGCTGAATAGGTTTTATCCACAGACTGTTGAGAGGAAATACAGGTTGTCTCTTGTCAAGGTGCTTTGAAAGTTTATATCTCTTCTTCTGTATTTACAGAGTTTAGCCTGTTTGTTAACTGGTATACATTTTGTCTGTGCGCGTGTGTGTGTGTGTGTGTGTGTGTGTGAGAGAGAGGGAAGTGCCTCTGGCTTATCTGTGGTGTAGTCTTCCCTAAATCTCATGCCCACAATATCATTTGGACAGGGTGGAAATGTTACTGATATCAATAGCCATATGCCCTGACCCATGGGGAAGGCTAAGCAATTCATCGCGTACTCCCACAAGTACTTTAACCTCAAACAAGAGTGATATGAAATGGAATTTAGAGCCCCGTCTGTCACGTAAATCTATTACACAACCAAACCATTTTAAACTCTGCAGGGCTCTCAGGTGGGTTGCAAAACATAGTGACTATTTGAGGGTGAAGAATGAAGCTTTAAAGACAGTGTTTTAAGAAACCACCTACAAAAGATGGAACTGTGAACTGCTATTTCTTCGCTATTGTTTAACCTGCAGGTTATGTCATATGTTAATGTCTGGTTTTTGCCCAGAGAATGATGATTTGAAATTGCTTAGAAATACAATAATTAACAATAGTTCCAGGTAGCTTAATCACCACACAGCAGAAGTTACAATTTCTTTGTCATCACAAGATGCTGCAGTGGTAATAAAATGTAGGGTCAAATATATCATAAATACCTACAGTTGTCGCCTTATTTATGACACGCAAGATGAATGTTGAAATAGGCACATTACTTTATTTGTTGTCAATTTTCTCTTAGTAAAATGCTTTGAGTAATATGAAGACATACCCGTTCTAGTGTTTTAGTCAGCACTGCTAGGCCTAAGTACAAGTTTGCAGGTAAATTTGACAAAAGCCTGCCTTGCCCCAATATGACTTTGAACCACAGTTTTCTTCTCTGGTATTTGATGGGCCGTTGATGTCGATTTTATCGCCACTGTTTGGCCCGGCATGCTTGTTTTAGCTTCTGTCGTCGATTTTGTGATCTTATCTGGATGCAGATATTTTGTAAATAGTAATAGTAAGTTAGTGAGGTGAAATATCTGCCCCTAAAAATATCTGCACTAGTATAGACAATGCCTTAGCTTTCACTCTCAGTACTGTAAGATTGTTTTTATTGTTTATTTGGACCATGGAAAAACCCAATGAAAACAGAGTTTATGAAAGGGTAAAACAACCAAACTGTTTGAAGTAACTACAGATCTAATGCCTTTTGGTTTTTAACACATAATATTGATAACCTTTAATGTCGACCTCAGTTTTATTCTGAAAACCACCAAAGGTCTCATCCGACTTTCTCATCCCCCCCACCTCTAATTCAAACTGAATCTGAAGACCGCACTATACTTATTTTACACCTCTGCCAAGTAAAGATCTTATCGCATACTAATGTGCTAAATGAAGACCTTATTGACAACAATTATAAGTGTTAGGCGTGACACTATACACAGATAAATGTATCTCAAAATCTCTTCTTGTCATTTTTCTGCAGCTTGTGTTCTTTTGTTCTCTAAAGAGAGATATGGCAGCAATCTCAGCCATCATCTGCCCTCACAAAGCGCACGCCATTTTGCTCCCTCTACTTCTGAGCACAGCGATTGCCTCGACACACAATTCGCAGCAATTTGGCGAAGCAATTTGTTCCATGCATTGATGACTCCCGGTATTATAAAGAAACAGGATTCGAGGAGTGCTGGGGGTTGCATGTCCAGGCTGATGATTGGCCTGAGAGTTAAAGGAAATAGAGAAAAATAATCATAGTGGAGGGAAGAGCAAGGGGAGACAAATGGACGAGAGAGATGGATTGATCCAGGGAGCTTCTCTCTTTCTATTTTGTCAAATTGAGAGAAAAAAAAAATGCTGATTTAAAATGCTCAAATGCAACAGCACAAGCGAGCTACCTGGATGCAGCTTTGGCCTCTGCCGCTGGAGACCAACGAAGAGGATAATACGATGACATAAATCAGCTCAGCGAGAATTGGATGCAAGCTTTGGGAGCTGTGGGAGAGGACAAATGAGTGACAGGGGATAAAAGGTGAGGGGAGGAAGACAGACGACTGGAGGCAGAGACAGACACAAGCTTTTGAGGAAGAGAAAGATATAACCAGGAAAATAATTGACAAAAAGAGCTGAAGGAAAGAGAATGGAAGAGATGCAGATGAGGTGTGAGGATTGTGAATTTACCCATTTAACACCTGTCTCCATTTTAAACCCTGGAGCCATATACTTCATTGTAACTTTACACATATCAAGCTGGGTTTGACATTTCACATCACTTAACAGGAGGAATACCGCACTCGGGGATACGATTAGAAAGAAAAGCCTAGTAGCGACCTGCAAGCAATTAGAAAGTCGAGTGTACCAGCAACGATCATAAGATGGGCCAACCTCTGGACTCCAAGATTTACCAATCACCAAACCCAACTGTGGTAATTACAGACCCTCTTGTGTGCTTTAGCAGTATAATTCATCTATTTGCTCTTCCCCTTGTATGTTCAAGACTATCAAGATCTTAATATCTAACAAATTATTATATTATTGTCAGTGGCAACCCACCAGGACGTCACCCATTGGTGTGTGAACTGCTGTTTTGAGGCTTCGATTTTTGCATTTAGGCCAGCGCCATCTTGAGGAAAGCCTGGCTGAGAGTTCTAGGACACACCCCCCTACACCTTCGACCTGCACCCATTGGATAGTAGAAACTGTCAAGCACACAGCATCCATTCTTCAATGCTTACTAAGCTCTATTGTCTATTTAACTCTTAACCTGAAACTAGCGATTGAGACCAAAAACTCTTTATGAAAATGTTTACTGACGTTATGCCTAAAGTGAGAAGAAGAATCATTTTCTCATTGACTTTGCAAGGAACTAACTTCTTTTTGTTACCAGTTAAGTTGCCCTCTGCTGGTCATTCAAAAGAAGACAGGTTTTAGACAATCTCGCATTGGCTTCACTTTCCAGACCTACATCTATTTTCATGTACAATCTATGATTATTGTTTACCCACAACACATTTCACTGTTGTACCTGGTCAAAACGTGTGTGACTTTCATGGTCATGCTGGATCAATCAATCAGTCACAACAGCAGTGCTCACACTCAATGTAAACATGGAACTCCTGGTTATTCTGATATCGACACTACTAATAAAGTAGATTCAGACATCCTCAATACTACCTCCAAGACAGAGAAAGGCTGCATTTACTGTCATTTACTCCGAACAGAAAGTTGGACAAAAATAAAACACCTTATGTCCTATTCAATGCTTAGAAAAGGATGTTGTCAAAGTAGTCATGACAGAATTTGCAAGACAGCCAACCAAAATTTATAAACATACATTTCATTCAATTGTTTGACAGGCAGTTTATTGGCTCCTTGAATCAAACAACCGGTCTGGCAGGTTTGATGGGCCAGGAAGGCATCAATACTGTCTCATAACAGTTCTTTCTCCTGTTACCTCTAGTTCCCTTTTTTTATTAGGTAGCGTATGTTGAAATCGAGCTAAAAACACATGCAAATGTACAACGTTACTAGGTCTACAGACTAAGTAAGACAACAGTGAATTGGAGTTTGATGAGATGTCCACCCCCAGATAACAAAAACATATACCAGAGCTACCATTACTTCTGTGACCTTAAAACAGAACAGTATGTGTGTGCCTGTGTGTGTGTGTGTGTGTGTATGCACCCATGCTTGTGTGTACAAACACACCAAACAAGAAAATATATGGTGGGAGGTTGTATTGAGTTTAATGCAGTTTGTAGCCTGAGGTCTGTTGTCAGGTCGCCGCTTCCCGCTTTCCACTCCATTCGCTTATGTTCCGTGTAAGATCATCCTGTTCCCTTCTTGTTCCTCTGTTCCGCCATGCCTTTATAACAGTGTAGAGTTCTCAACAGTAATTGAGTGTTGCTGAAAAAGTCTGGATCACTCTCGGAGTAAAAGTTGAGGTGGAGGGAGGGTGGCAGGTGGAGGGGAAAGACTGAAGTGTAAAATTAGAAGGAGGTAGAACCAGTTTCCCTCAAGAGGAATCTGTGAACACCGTCATGTATAACACTGGCATGTCTCGCAGGGCCAGATGCATGACCAGATGGTGTATTCATATATATTTACAATTCAAAATTACTGCAGGGAGATATATTCGGTTTTCATATCGCATAAGCCACCAATATGGAAGTTGGAGTTTGGTGCCTGCTGTAACGAGACAAGCTGACTTAGAGCATAACAGCTGCAGTGAGCTCACACACGTTCATATATCAGGGTTTCATCATAGCAGTTATTATTATTCAGTCACTTTTCCCGATACAATTCTAACACGCACGAGTATAGTGACTCAAGAGTTTTACACAAGTTTCATACAGAAACTGAACAGGAAAAGTATTTGACGGTTGTCTCCTTAGCCATCACTAAACAAATGGAAAGGTGTTATTGAATTGCTAAGCCAAATATATTTGAGTAATAAGGTTGGGCTCAGACAGATTGTATTACAGCTCCTGTCCCTCAGTCAAATTCCAATTTAAAACTTTAAACACTTTTACACCTTTTTATTATCTTTATTGAGTTTTAGTTCTTGAAAGATTTGGGAGATATTCTTTTTTGTATATGAAATATGAGGCAATCGTTGCTTATGGAGCGATGGTAGTGAGGTACCACCGATACACGTGCCTGACCATCAGTCAGTCTCGGCTGTCAATCATGACGTTTCACTTAATTGAACAGATTAAAACCACAGAGGCTAGCTGTTTGCATATGTTTCTAGTCTTAATTGCTAAGTGAAGCTAACCACCTGCTGTCAAATGATTCCTTTAAATATGAAGTTATTTTTTCGCTGTTGAACACAGATCCTACTAAATAATGTACGTATAATTTTCACACAGAACTTGCCCCAAACGTCCCCCATTTCTTACTGCAGCTTCCCAGAATATGACACAATGCAGTACGTGCTGCTCCGCTGTTGACTTGTTGTTCAGTGTGGTCACACTTTAGATAAATGACCCTATTACAGAGCGGGGTGGGTGTTATCTGTCAGAATCACCGTGCCTCTTTGTGCTCATACACCGTCCACGATCACTGAACATGGCCACTACCATTCAGTGCCTGCTTGTGTGACTGCGTGGATATTCTGTACATTATTAAAAGGGTTCTTCCAGTCATCAGAGCTGAAGGTTTATTACTTTCTTATGAACACACAAGCAGTGGTAAAGCTGGTGATTCAAATAGCAATTTACTAATGATATTAGTAGTCACGTGTTGTTGATCTTTTGGTTACTGTTTACTGTAATCCTGCAACAATTCATTGATTAATTAGTTGACTAATGTTTAATCAGGAACATTCATCATTTAGCTCATTGATAAATGAGTTACACAATTGTTTGGGCGAGACATTTATCAAGCAGCAAAGACTCTAAACATAAAATACAAGAGTGCATGGCTGATATTTTATATATTATGAATGTAATCATTTTTATTTATTTATCTTTAGTTTGGGACAAATTTAACTTTCTATACAAACTTTCATAGCAATCCAGGAGTGTTTGAGATATTTTAGTCTGGGCCACAGTGCTGGATACACAGCACAGAGCCATATACTGCCGCGGCTAAAAGTATAAAACATTTAGATTAGTTGTGTTTCTCCGATTTGCAACAAAGCTGAATACCCTTGGACCAGAAACAAATCGAAGATTGCTTTCTTTATTGAAACTGTGATGAAAATCGTTCTTTTTAAACATTCTATAGATTGATTTATTTGAAATTAAAAGAGACAAAAGCTATCTCCTGTAGCCACAGTTTGCTGCATGACCTTCTGGCTTATTGCCCAAACAACAAAATTAGAAATAGATGAGTGAGTGTGTTCTGTTTTAGTGTTGTGTGTTTATGAATGAAGTCAAACAGCTCACTGCTGTGAGCCAATGAGTCTCACGTTAATTAAGGACCACATCACTGGAAGTCACAGTATATCCATGCTGTGCTTTGAGTCATGCAAGGGAAGGGAGAGGAGGACATCCCTGGAAAGAGGAAAAAATAACTGCAGGTGGTGCAAAGGAAGAGGAGGAAGCCACAGCTACTGTACAATGGCTAAGGATGTGTCTGCCATCCAAATTATCAGCAGACAGCATTCTGGGAGCTCATTACAGCAGCCTCTGAGCTGGAGGAGATGCTGCAGCAGTGGGGGGATCAGGGAGCCAGTTCAGTGAGCTCAGCTCCAGCTGCACTAACAGTCTTTCAGTGAGAGACGCCTGGGCACAGGCCAGCAGGATAAACCCACAGTGACAGCCCAGGATTTGCATGAGCGTCTCCTCCCACCCCACAAGCACCGTTTAAAGTTTGTAGCTGCATGGGAACAAGAGTTTGGATGGGGGCATGTGGGAGGTGTGTGGTGTCGAGCAAACATGTCTTAACTTATGCTAAGCCGGAGCACAGTTTCCGGCTTAATTTTGCTCCTCACCCACTGTAGGTGAGTCATGAAAGCTGATGCCCTGGAGTGCTGTGCCATTTGAGTACAACTATATTGTGTCTTTCTCCTTCAGCATTCAACTGATGTCAGATAATGTGACGCTGGTAATTCTTAGAGAATGACTGGTTGCTAGACTATTGTCGAGATGCCGTTAATCTCGTTACGTGGTTCATTGTGTTGAGTCTCATTGTGTGTTCGCCGTCTCTTTACCAGTTGGTGTTACTCCATTGGCCCCATCCAATCCATTCTCTCCGCCTTGATTTCACCTCTCAGTGGATGAAATTTGGGTCTTTGTGTGTCTTCTCCTGCAGAGCCGCAGTCCCCGGCATTCCCAGTCTACCCAGTCTGGGCTCGCCGACCAGGCCGCCAAGCTATCCTTCGCCTCTGCCGAATCCTTGGAGACCATGTCGGAGGCCGACATCCCAATCGGGTTCAACCGGATGAACCGTTTTCGCCAGAGCCTGCCGCTGTCCCGCTCTGCCAGCCAGAATAAGCTGCGATCTCCAGGTTAAGATCTGAAGAGCTGCTGGCAGGTTCTGTCACGAAAATGCTGGTCGAACATGAAGCAGATTTGAGGCTGTCTATTCACTCCCTATAGCTGGTGATGTGAACCGCTGTGCTTACAGAGAACAGAAGGAAGAGTTATATTCTCTCTTCATTTAGTGTAGCAAGTTAGGTTTAGTATAACTGCTGTGTTGCAGAGAACTGGAGAGCAGTCAGTTCAGAGGAAATATTTGACGACTGAATATATGTGTAAACAACAGACTCAAGAACAGGTTAACTGCATGAGGGCCTTTGGAGAGTAGAGAGGATTAGTGTTTGGCTGGTCCAGACTCATAAAGACCAAGGTGCTGTGTTATATCAGACACAGAGAGATAAATAATGAAGTGGCTGTAAAGTTAAAGCGTCAGTGACTGATGAGGGATGTTCAGAACGAGGAGTTCAGGCAGAGGTAGAAGAGCAGAGCCTCCTCTCCATGACTCTATATACTAACTACCTGTCTTTGTTTTCTTCTCTCCCCTAACTCGTCTGCTGTATCTCTCTTATTATGCTTGACTTTTAATCGATGGTCTTTTCTTTTGCTTTGTTTGTTCTTTTGTTTGTCCCACGGTGTATGAAGATGAATTTGCAGGTTAGTCAGGCGTCAGACTCGTCTTTTCCTATAAAACCAAGGGCTGCAGAAACATTTTCTATGAAGTATGGCTGTTTGGGGGTCGTTATTTCTATTTGATTATTAGAAAGTTTTATTTCAAAATGTAAAACTAAAAATTCAACCTGCCTCAAACTGAATCTATGTACCTTGTTGTTCAATTCTCATCTAGTTTCCACGTTCAGAAAAAAAGTCAGTGAATATTCAACTGATGATAAAAAAACCATTGTCTTAAACTTGTATACCAAGAGGCAGAGCATTTGGATGATAATGTCACTTGCAGAATCTGAACACATGCTTTAAAATAATTGCTTTTCTAAGTTATATGGGAAAAGCCATCTCTGTCTGACTCGTCGTCTCTTCTCTGTCACTCTTACATAGGCGTGCTGTTCCTGCAGTATGGGGACGAGACGCGCCGCGTGCACATCACCCACGAGCTGAGCAGCCTGGACACGCTGCACGCCCTGATCGTCCACATGTTCCCTCAGAAGCTGACCGCAGGTATGCTGAAGTCCCCCAACACGGCCATCCTGATCAAGGACGAGGCGCGCAACGTCTTCTACGAGCTCGAGGACGTGCGGGACATCCAGGACCGCAGCATCATCAAGATTTTCCGCAAAGAGCCCATCTATGCCTCTTACCCTGCTGCTGCACACCTGGCGAATGGAGATCTGAGGGTGAGGAGGAGGGAGATGGGGGAGAGGGGAAGTTGGTGGCAGAAGTGCTGGGTTGTTGATGAGAAAAAATACAATATAATGTCCTGCATCTCTTCATGGTTAACAACTTGTCAGTGAGAATTCCAGTAATAGTAATATTGTGCCTCAACAATAAAAATGAGCAGTGCGCTTCTTTGGCAAGGTAATAGTGTTTTTTTTGTGTTCCAGTGGTAACTTTGACAGGCTGTTTCTGTGTATATGGGTTCGTAATTTAACCGGTATTCCTCCTGGAAATGTATTTTCTTATCTCTAAGTAGCCCATCTGTTGCTGTGCACATGCCAGAGAACAATGTTCCTCTGTGAAATGAGCATATTTTAACATCCAAAGCTATTTCTGCTCCAGTGAAGATCAAGGAAGCCGGAGGGAAATCTTTTTTATTATATTTTTTTATTTTATACAAAACCCTGCTTTCCATCTGTATTATTCACACAATACTGAGAACACAACTGCTATTAACGATGCAAAAAGGCAGTGAAAACAACAATTATGCGTCTGTATATTGTATGTGTGTGTATGTTGAGTGTGTCTGTGCACGCTCACATGCATGTTTGTGCTTGTGTATAAAGGCACAGCTGACACACACCCTTAACACTCAAAATCAGGAAATCGTACAGGCATGTTTTGAAGTGACACTTTTATGAGTAAAGCTGAGAATCATGAGTTATTATCTTTCACATTAATTGTGTGATGCACAGTCTCTCTCTTCTTCACAACAGTTGGTGACCAAACACAGGATCCATCTTAACAAGCATCTCGCCATTAATTTACTCTTTGAGCATGTTGTGTGTCTCGTATCGTCTTGTGCAGCAAGTCACGGTTTCAAGCTGTGTTTTATCTGTTGTCTAGCTTGTTTGAGTTGTGCCCGCACAGTGCAAATCAGGTCATCTCCTACAGCTTTGAATATTCAGTATGTTTATGAATTTATCCATGGGCACACATGCTTGGCAGCACGTATTCTTTTGTCACGCTTCAATATTTCCTGTGTTACTGTGTCAAGGTTAGCTGGAATGCTGAGAACCATATGAAAGGAAGAAAAAACAGGCATGAGTAAAGCAACCAAAGTAGTAATGTGACGAGGGGAAAGCGGAGTATTTGCATTTTGAAAGCTGCAGATATGAGAAAAACCGCAGCAGGCGTAAATCCACAGAAAAAAAAAACTGAGGCCGGTTGAGAAAATCATCAGGACGTGTTAAATGATGTTATGTTGCTGTGCAGAGACAGGCAGATAGAGACAAATAAAACAAAATGGTACCCTAAGTATATTTGCCTGAGTTAGAAGCAAGTCATCAATCTGCTGGGGAAAAAAAAGTTTCTATTTTCACCCAGACACTCAGTTTTCTTTTATTTTAAAAGTCTAAACATTTTATGTACTTAATTAGGCCATTGGACACTTCTGTAAAATGTGTCTTCTTCCAGTGACATCTGTAGATTTTGACAGTCTGTCAGGTGTCAGTCAGATCAGTCATGCTCAAGCCAAACTGACACATGGTGAACACTCATGTGCAAATCTCCATGGTAACTCTCAGCCCTGCTTGTTCATTTCAGAGGGAGATGGTGTATTCCTCTCGCGACTCCTCCCCAACCCGCCGCCTCAACACCCTCCCCTCCTCCTCGGCCTCAGCCTCTTCTGGCTCTCCATCCCGCTCACGCCTCTCCTACAGCGGCGGCCGCCCTCCGTCCTTCGCCGGGTCCCATCCTCAGCACGAACAGGCCAGGCACCCCCACCATCCCTCAGCCGGCCACGGTGCCAATGCAGGCCTGTCTCCTTCACCCAGCGCCATCCTGGAGCGCCGTGATGTCAAGCCTGATGAAGAGGTTTCTGCGAAAAACATGGCGCTAATGAAGAATGAGGGGCTGTATGCAGATCCCTACAGCTTGGTGCACGAGGGCCGCCTCAGCATCGCTTCCACTCAGTCTTTAGCTGCCATCGGAGACCCCTTTAGTTTCCCTGTTTCCAGTGGCCTGTACCGCCGGGGCTCTGTGCGGTCCCTCAGCACCTACTCAGCTGCAGCTCTTCAGGGTGATCTGGACGACTCCCTCTACAAACCTGGTGGTTCGCTCTACTCCGACACATACTCCTCAGCCACTCTGGGGATGGGCTTTCGCATGCCGCCCTCATCGCCACAGAAAATCCCTGACATGCAGCTGAGGGAAAGGGACTTGTACTCCAGCTCGCCCAGCAGAGCCTCACCTGTCAGGCAGACGTTTCGCAAGGACTCGACCTCTTCCTCCGTGTTTGTGGAGAGCCCAAAGTCAAGGCCCAGCTCCAGTTCAGAACCTCTGTGTCTGACAGCCGGGCCTGGGGAGGGTGGCAGGGCCACGCCTGGTTTTGGTTCCTCGTTGTCTGGACAAGACTCTGACAGTAGCAGGTCAGTTTTAGTCTGTGTGGTCAGTTTCATTAGGTATGTTGTACTGTTTACGGAGGGTTTTGAAAATCATCCTTTGAGTTAAGGAGTCACACAATACTGTCCTATAAAGTCAAAAAATTATACTGATCATTTTATATTTGTGTTCAGTCTATATTCTTAAGTTTTAAATGGACAGAGCTGTGTTGGAAAAACGTGTTGTTATATATTTCCAAATGACAAGGCGATGAAACCACAAAGAAGTTTGTTTTTCAGTTACCTCTTCATTTGTGCATTACGTTGTTATACAGTTGTAGCTTTTTCTCTTGTAGGGATCATCGTCTGGAGCGTATGGAGGCCATGGAGAAGCAGATCGCCAGCCTGACTGGCCTGGTCCAGAGTGTGCTGACCAGAGCACCAGACAGTGACAGCACGTAAGACTCTCCATTACAGCCCATTAACCCTCTAAAATCAACAAGCACGGCATCGGCTCAGACACATAGGCAGCATTATTGACAGGAACAGCAGCGCGCTATTATCTGAGCCATTATCAGTTCCATAGCAGTGAAGTGGTACATTACTTTGTATGAGCACGTCACAAGTACACAGCATTAAACATTAACTGCAGTGCATGGGCACTATTGATTTATCTATTGATATATGTGAGACAGTTGAGTCCCTTCATTTAAACTGAACACTATTATCATGGCCGACATGAACACAATAGGGGCTCATTAACAAGAAGACTTGTTAATGTGATCAGTCTGATAGCATCCAGTAGTCGTGCTGTTAGCGTTAGCACTGTAATTGCCTTGCCCTGTGGCCGTTGATCCTCAGATGCGGCCTGCTGCGTCTCTGCATGATGGCGGGCTGCCCTCCAGACCAAGGGACGGAGTTCTCACGGCCATTACCTTTTTCTTCCAGCGAGAAGACCGAAACCAACAGCGACGGCTCCGCCACTGGAAGTGAGTACAGCAGCGTGATCGAGACTCGTGCACCGTACCGTTGCCCACGAGTCGATTTGTTACTAACACTCGTGTGAAGCCCTTCGCTGAGCTTTTTCTTTTTCTGACTAACAATGAACAGAAATTTACAGAGGACAATGAATAGAGAGGCAATAATGGTGATCTCCTGCATCACAGTGAAAGTGAGGGAGAATAAATGTTTTTATCTTTAAGTCTGGTCCAGTTCATGTTTACATTGACTTTCAACTAACAGACTGATAGCTGTAATTATAATGTTGCACAGACTAGCTCACTGATTGAAAGTGTCATGCTGCATCATCAGCACTGCATGTAGGGAATTCAGATTCTCGTGACTGACAGCAGGCTACACAGCACATTAATGATGCAAGTGTGTATATTAAGACTGTCTAGTGTCACTGAGAAATAACAAAGAAATGAGATAAGCATTATTAGTCATATCAATAATTTATAATAGTTATAATTTCACAGAGTCTCACAGCATTGCAGCCAATCCAATCCCATTGTAGTAAATTGTGACCTCATCTTCAGACATAATAGAACAACAGAAAAAACTTTCAGGGCGTGCGTTCGTGTGGCTACTTCCACTTGCATCACCACTTCCAGTAGTGGACTTTAAGGCTTAAACATGGTGTAAAAGATCTTGTTTGAAGTTGAATGTGAATGTTGGGGCTTGCGGACACTTGGATGACACCACACGAGCAGTATGCTTTTTTCTGTTTTATTACGTCTGAAGAAGCAGTCCCTTCTGAAACACTGTTTACCACTGAGACTCCTTAAGTGTTTTGCGGACTCAAACGACTTTATCTGCATAGTGGTGAGTATAGATTATGAGTGAATTGGAATTTTTCAGTGAACTGTCCCTTTTAAAGTGATTAAAAGTAAATGGTAGCTGATTAATTCCCTGTCGAGCGACTAATTGTTGCAGCTCCAGTAGGATCAGGCTCTTTTGAATGGATTTAATAAAGAGCCAAAGTACAGAGAGACCAGCCTGACACACTGGATTTTGATTGACAGCTCTCACACCAGCTCAATCGAATTGAACCGAACGACTCAGGTGTAAAATTGTCCTTAAACACTGAAAGGCGAATTGAACATCTTCATTCATTTCTTATTCTCTTTCTCTGCTTCTGTTTTACTTTGTCTTTTCTCTATTCAAGTTGAAGAGGTTCGTTCTAAATGATGCAGATAACAACCAAGTGACGGCTGGTTAAATCCCCTTTATTGAATATTTTAAAGATACAGGCCATTGCAAATCTTTCCCTGCCTGGAAAAGGCTCGTGAGTATTATCCTACTAGGTCTAATATGAATAAAATAGTGTTAATGTAATTTTTATTTGCCCAGTGTGGAGAAGAACTCAGCACAAATACAAAATTCCTGCGGGAAATGTTGGCAAAGCTCAGTCAAGCCACTGTTAAAGGTGTTAAACAAACAACGTATAGGAGTGTAAACTTCACCTCCTTGGCGAGGATATAAGACGGAAAGCTTTGAAGGAGTTGAAAGGTTTCACTTTTTGACTCTTACTATTTTTTCCAAGATATCAAACAGTTATTTCACTTACAAAACAAACATCTTTCTGGGTAGAATATTTGAAATACAAACAGAATTATTTTTCAACCCCTTATCTCTTTGCTTTATCATTCCCTACATCCCTGTTTCTGTTTTCCTCTCCTCTAATCAGTGTTCAGATTTGCCTATTTTGCACGTTTGGAGCTAACAAGCCTTCTCTGTGGCCAGACCTTCACACTGCCTGTGCAAGGAAACAGTTATTTATAAAGCTTTTCTCCAAAATTGATCCAGTGCCAAAAAGGCTAAGCCATCACCAGAGTAATTTTCTCTGCTGTAGTCAATAAAAACGCTCTCCAGGATCATCATTCTATAAATATGAACTTTTAAGACTTTCCTCTCCCTTTTTTGTCTCTCTCTCTCTTACTCATGCTCTCATTAATTTCTCAATAACTGGCTCGTTCTCTCTATATTCCAGCTGGACGGCTGAAGAAGAAAGGTAGTTGCCATCTCCTTCTCTTATCACCCTTTTTTTATTTCTCCTATCAGACATCTCTCTGCCCTCTGTATGGGTGTGTGGTGTTTCTGGGTAGCTGACGGTGTCTATCCTCACGTTCTCCTCCCGGTTGGTTTTCATGGAGCGCGGACCCTCCCTCGTTCTGTCTCTGTCTCGACTGTTTGAACTCCTGCTTGGTTTTTCCTTTGGGAATTTCTAAAGGGTTGTTTTTGTCTCAGGGCGAGCACTTCTGTATAAATGTGTGTGTGAGAGTGTGTGTGTGAGAATAGCTGGGGAGTCAAAGGCCATACTCACAAAGCCTTGATAAGAGCATGGTTATCCCCCTGTGTGTCACAATTGAACAGATGAATGCACTTTTATATAGGTTACTAATAGCATGAGCTCATGTTTTTCCTGGTGAGCTATTAAAGTTTTGTGAGTATGGTGCTTTTGGTGCTTTCACACACTCATACTATATTTGCTCAATTGTGTGTGCGCCCAAATTTCCTGTTTATGTACATTTCTTTGGGCGTGTGTCTTATTGTTTGCACTGTGTGTCAAGCAGGCTGATTGCAAATCTCACTGGAGCGCAGCCCGGCAAACTAACCAATTTGTTTCCCTGACGACCTCCTGGTGACCCACCATATCCTACTCTGTTATTTGCAGCTCATACACCATCGGCACCGCTAGCTCTGATGCCACCACCACCCTCTATCGCAACCCAGGTCAACAGCGTCGGCCGCTTGCAGATGCAGCTCCACCTGCACGGCCTGCAGCAAAACGCCAGCGACCTGCGCAAACAGCTCACCCAGCTGCGCAAGACACAGGTACAGACCAACCACTGTAAAATACATTCGAATGATGTTTCTTTAAGAGGGTACACTCCCATATTATGACAAATCATTTAAATATTCACCATTACCATTATCTAGCCTTGCATATAGTTAGAAATATTCTTCTAGTTCATAATTAATCTCCTTTCCCCTGCCATGCAAAGATTTAAACCTCTTAAATGTAATTTTAAAATCACCAGCTGGCTTTTATAAACGCTGGTGCAAACAGCAATTTTTGAACACAGAGTTCATGCTAGGATTCTTTTTATTATTTAGTGTGTATTTGAATTCTGGCCTGGACAGAGACTAGAATAAAGATTAAATGTCCTAAACCATTATTTACTATTTATTTATTTTTTTTGTTTACACAGTCAAAAGGGCAGATCTCAATTCCAAATATGAGCAGCAGAACATAACAGATATAACCAGTAAATTATGATTATCATGCATGTAAATGTAAAAGCATGAACATGTTCATTCTGTTGTCTTTCCATATGCTTATTCTTGACTGGGGAATACTGTCAGTGTCCAGGCGCATAAGGCTGCTAATCTGCTTTCCTGCCTCCATCCCATAAGCAATTAGAATTTCATCTGTGGTGCTCAACGCAGAGAAATTTTATATATATATTTAAAAAAAATTAAACTTGAATGGCACTCAGTAGAGCGCATCCCTCTGCCGAAGCTTGGCAGCCCCCTTATGAAAGCACATTTAAATTCATTATATCTGGATTTACATTTGGATCTGCATCAATCATAAATATTAGTCCCTTAAACATTTCATCAAGAATCATGAATTATTCTCTGAGAAATCAGGGAAAATGTTGAAAAATCTCTGCTGTTATGGATCCACACCCACATTTAATGGGTTCTTCCCTGACACATCCCACATCCTTCCACTAAGTTTCATGGACGTCAGTTCAGCAGTTAGTTCAGTAGCGTAATCCTACAACTAAGTACAAACAATTTGCTGATGAAATTATAATCTCCTTGGCGGACATAATATCTTAAAACAACAGCAACGTATCTTCCTGCAAACATTGTCCTGATTTTGCTTCACAGTGTCAGCAGTTGTCATCAGTTACTTTTTGACAGGCTTCTGCCTGTGAGAAGTGTTTACAGCTTGTACAGTGGATTATTCAGAGTAACCAGGACACCATTTCTGTGTTCAGATGATTTCATACATTTTCTGTGCATCTAGACTCTGCATCATGTCTGTTCTGATGACACCTTGGTTAAGACGACGATGTATAATTAACCACTGTCAACTCTGGCATTTATATTAAATATAAAACATTTTGGACTTACATGTAGCACTGGGTTTGTACCCTTGTGGTTGAATGCACTTATTGTAATTTGCTTTGGATAAAAGCATCAATAATCATTAATGTAAAAGATCCATTGGTCTAAGAGTTTGGAATCTGTTTGAACATAACATAAGAATGTGTCTTTTCTGGGTCCCTCCTAACTCACTACAGAGACCATGCAATTTTTCCACAGATTGATCCAAAGCTATGATATTTCTTATTTTCCAAAGTTATATAGTGTCCAGTGTTTCAACATGCACACATGATACACACAGGAACAGCAGCTTTTGATCTTAACAATTTGGCACCTACAGTAAAACACCTGCAGGTTGACATATCTACACTGCCTTGACACATTGAGGGCATTGAACCTTGTGAAGATTAATAATGAAATACAAAGATAAAAGCTTGGTTTGCCTCGTGTTGCATGCTACAGAAATACAGAATGTCACGAAGGGTGTGGAATCAGATAAAAAGCCACAAGGGAGGGTTACCAAAAAAAGGGACGATGAGTTCCTTATTTATTCCGTTTATCCCTGATGCAAGCGGTGCCATGGTTACCTGAGGAGGAGTCGGGGAGAGATGTGGAGTTAAATGCTTTCAGAGGCAGAGGAGAGGATTCGGTGCATCTCGCAGGAGGGGGGAGGAAATAAAAAGGCAGAGTAACAGCAGTGACAGATCATCGGTGTGCAGTGCTTTTATTTGATCCATGACAGCAGACACAGGGGCCTCTAGAACTGGCTAAGCAGTAAGAGCCGACATGTTGCCGTATCCACTGAGCACTCTTTGGCTGTTTTTGTTTGCCCAAGTGTGACCTCTGCACCTGGAGCCACACTGTTTGCCCGTGACGATGGCCTGCGCCTTAAATTTTACATGCAGCTACTAAATTATACAGAGGAAAGGTGCAGGAGAAACAGGCACCTGAGAGAGGGACACTAATTCCATCCAGATTGGTTTTTTCTATTCTATTTCTTTATTTTTAGATAAATACTTTGTACAATATCATATTATAACCCCTTCCTTTAGCCGTCTGCATCAGCATCACCATCAGCAATGTAATACTGTGTAATTTTGAATGTAAGCAATATTGTTGTCTTGCTTCACTTCCTGGAACATGAGGCTATTCAATTATTAATTTTTCTTGCTTACCAGGTGCTTTCATCTTTGGGAGTAGTATTACATCAACTAGTCATGTAGAGTATTCCATTCATAACACAGCGCTGAGCTGGGGTTATGCTCAGTGCTTCTGTCAAGGAACATCCTTCATTCACCTCAGGGCGTCCCGGCTTTCTTTGTTACGGGAAATATTATATGTACTGTACACGGCAACACACACACGACTGTTAACTACTTGCTTTAGTGCCTGCCAGAACAAAGCGCTCAGTGGGAAGGTTAAGTCACGAGCAAAAGCTGCAGTTGAACAAAGGAGCTATGGCTGAGGCCTCAGTTTGCCCTCTCAAGGATGAAGCAAAATAAAATGTGCAGTTGGTTTGAATCACTGAGGTCTGTTTCCTAAAGCCTCTTGTCCCGTTGTTATGCTGAGATGGCAGCGACAAGCTTTTCTCCCTTAAGGCCACTGAGGCTAACATTGATACAATTCATTTCCAAACTAGAATGGCCCCCAGTAAAGCTCATACCTCCGCCAAGGCCCAACAGTCCCCTCATGAAACCACATTTAAATTCACCTGATCCACACACACACACACAGACAAAATTTCAACGCAGACCAAAACATTACCTCCTAAAGGAAAGAGACGCAGAGTCTACAGCGCCCCCTGCTGATGCAAGATATATAAAAGTCACCTGAAAAATGTTTTTGTGTGTGTGTGTGCAGATGGAGAACCAGGCTTCGGTGAAAACTCTGCTGAAGCGGACAGAAGCGGAGCTGAATGTGCGTGTTGCTGACGCCTTGAGGAAGCAGGAGGATCCTCTGCAGAGACAGCGCCTCCTGGTGGAAGAGGAGAGACTCAAGTACCTCAACGAGGAGGAGCTCATCATTCAGCAGCTCCAGTCAGTAACGGGATAAAAAGAGTAGAAGACATCTCATTAAATCTTTCTTTTGAATCAAAATTGTAGTAACGGAAATAAATGATGTCTGTAATTGTTCTGAAAAACCACAGAGGGATCTCAGGTTCCGTGTTCAATATATAAACTGACAGTTATATAGTTTCAGATGAGATTTTATCATGTATTAAATAATTGCTTTAAACATGACAAAGTTCATATCTGTTTTATAATTAGACGACTTACAGGGTGATGCAATGGTACGATGAAATGTAATTAAGCCCGGCATAGAGCAAGATGCTTATTAAGATCTGAAATATGAGATGGTCCAGCAAATAATTGAAGTCACTGCAAACTCAGAGCAGAGAGCTACCTTGAGATTTAATAATCAGATAACTCGCCGCCGTCTCATATGTGGAAATGTTCGCTGCAGTAATGATCCCTGGATCTGTTCCTGAGCGTCTCAGTCGTTCCCGAATCTTTCTCCGAGCTGAGTTTTGATCACAGACTAATTGGTTGAACTGTCGGATGATCCTTGCTAATCAGAGTCAGTTATTCAGTTGGGCTAATGGCCAATTTATTTTTGGTTAATTATACATATAGCTTTGATTTCACACATAACTCGAGGCAGATTTATTTCACGTCAAGTCCGACCACAGCAGACACACTCAATATTAGTTTGTTTCGCATTTTATCTCAGTTGTTGCATGAAACTTTTAAATACCAGTCTGTACTCCTCCAGTTCAGCTGTTAATCTAGCTGCCAGTTGATTGAAAGACAGTTTATTGGCAAATGTTTTGTGCAAACCCAAATTCTGAGATGAATAATAAGTAAAGTGTTTCAGCGGCATCCCTGGTGTTCAGCCTTCTGTCTGTTCCATCTCAGCGACCTGGAGAAGTCGGTGGAGGAGATCCAGAAGGAGTCATCTGTCAACCACAAGCTTGTGACAGTGCAGGAGCTGGAGGAGAAGGCCACCGTTCTGAGAAAACTGGGAGAAACGCTCACAGAACTGAAAAGTGAGTCACGTTGGCGCATTTTATAATCTGTGCTCAGGGAGAAAACAGCAAAACAACAAAACACCAGTCCTTTACTCAGGCAGACAGTTTATAATAATGCACTAATTAGTCACCAAGGCCCTGATTATCATTCAGTCACCCACTGTCAGTCTGTCAAACATTTAGTCTCAGATTTGTTCATTGTCTTAATGAACTCCCTGGAGTTTACAGTACCCCAAAATGGTTTTGGACTAGTGACTACATTAAAATGCGTTCATTGGTTTGTTTTTTTACACTCTTTCTCCTGCAGATCAGTTCCCGGGCCTGCAGAGTAAGATGCGGGTGGTGCTCAGGGTAGAAGTCGAGGCCGTCAAATTCCTGAAAGAGGAGCCGCACAGACTTGATGCCCTGTTAAAACGCTGCAAAACTATAACCGACACCCTCGCCACCATGCGCAAGTATGAACACTTCATCAGCACCTGTTTTACCTTTACATCCCTATTGAAGAGAGTGTGCATTGACTTTTGAACTGTCCATAGAGTTTTTTAATGATTCACTAAAATGTCTAAAAATGAGGAGAGTTAGAGAGCCAAAGTTAGAGGATCACGTGTTCACCTCTTAACTTGTGTGTCTGCAAAACATCATGGATTTTTTATTAAACAGGGTGGACAGACAGACCTTGGTCCAAGACAATCAATTAGATTATGTTGTTGATCCGGGTCAGAGATATCCACCATTAAGTTTTTATCCTTTCTCAGCGAAAGCTCTAAAAGGTCCAGAGACTGAGATGTGCTATAAAATCATCATGTGTGTCCAAAAAAGTCCTTGAGGATTTCTTCAACCTGATACCATTTCCTGGTATGATTTGGTGACACCAAGATAAGGCTCTTTTCAGTCACATGAATCCAAGCTTTAATGTTATGATGAGTGTGGACTTGGAAATGTTCCTTTTAGCATTGTGTGTTTCTTTCTCCTACTCAGCCTTGTGTTCAATTGTTTTTGTTCAATTCACCTCATTGATAAAAAGAGCTTAACTCAATTAGTTTTCAATTTTTCATCATTGTGACAATGACAGCAAGTTGGACATTTCAGTTCAGTGTTGGTGTAGGTCATAGTTTCTGTGTGTTTTTGGCATTCAGCAACATTTTTTGTTGAAAGTTTGAATAATCCATGGGAAATTAATTCCTCCTCCATTTTTTGTCAGACAAGCAAATGAAGGGGTGTGGAAGAAGCAGGAGGACTTCTCCAGTCCCTCATCGAAGCACAATGACGACCTGCGAAAGTTTCCAGACTTTGACATTCCCACCAGCCCACCCCTCACCATCAATGACCTTGGGGGAGGCAACAGCCTGTCCAATTGGAGCCCTCACTCCAGCTTCAGCCGAGTCCACGGGAACCCGTCCGGCCCTCACAAGGATAATTATCCTCCTGTTCCCCACAAGGGCAGAGCCCTGGAGGAGCTTGAGCGTCGCGCTGCTGCGGACAAAGCTTTGTCCGTAGAGGTCCGACTGGTAGGAATCGACTTCTGCTGTTATTCCCCGCCACACACGATCAGCATTACAAATCATATCATAATGTTGCTGCACCAGTCGAGCGTTACCACAGAGGTTGTGTGTTTATCAAGTGTTTAGATCCGTCTCTCCACTCCACAGGCAGCAGAGCGGGATTGGGAAGAGAAGCGGGCCAGTCTGACCCAGTACAGCGCTCAGGACATCAACCGCCTGTTAGAGGAGACCCAGGCTGAATTAATGAAGGCGATTCCAGACTTGGACTTTGCTGCCAAGCAGATTAAACCCTCCTCAAGCACAACTTCCTCCCAAAATCCTCAGAGTGGGATGGCCAGCACAGAGCACCGTGTCAGCAAACCCCAGCACAAGCTTTCTGGGAAGGAGGGATCCCGGCGTGGCTCTGGTAAGACGGACCATCAGTTCTTGACCTGGCATAATTTTCATGTCATGTCAAGATAAAACTTTACATCTTCAAATATTCTAGAAAAACAGCTTTGTTTACAATGTAACTACAAAGTGTGTCTAAACTAATCCAATTAGCTTAATCTTATTTGTACAAGCTGTGCTTCATCAAATCCTGGCAAGAAAATGAAACTGCAATAAAATATGAATAAATATAAAATACTGGAGATACAGTATGATTTTTAAGCAAGTTACTTTAGTTCCTACACATTGCTTTCAGCATGAAGTTAAGTTATGCATGATTTCAAATGCCAGATATATGATTCTAATATCACTGTAAACGTATTATGTGAGTGTTGCTCCTTCCTCAACAAGCCCATAATACGTCTTGTTTAGATGAACTGACGGTGCCTCGATATCGAACAGAGAAACCCTCCAAGTCTCCTCCTCCACCACCACCTAGACGGAGCTTCCCCTCCTCTCCAGGCCTGGTCACCCGCAGTGGAGAGCCCCTCATTGTTGGAAAAAGTATAAAGGTAGATTTTACAGTTTTCAGTATATGTGCATTATATTGCTGGAGTGACAAGCATTTTAATCCAATAAGAGTATTACTCAGAGCTACGTGCAGCTGATGGGAGCTGATGCTTCGTAGAATTTATGAATGTCCTCATTAGATCTTATCAGTAACATATGCAAATTATGGACTCTTTGTATTTGTGATAGCAGAAGTCTGAATCTGAGGAGACTGAAGCCCAGAAGCCTCACATAAAACTGCGGAGGACTGTGTCTGAAAACCCTCGTCCTGCATCGACACCCCCCACACTGGCCTCCGGGGACAAGGAGGAAGGGGAGGAGGAGAAAATTGCTGCAGAATTGGAGGTGAACAAATACATGTTGATCATATCCTCAATAGACCGGTGTTCAATGGGTGGGAAAACTACACTCCCTTTTTTTGTAATTATTTATGTTACTTCCACAATCTGCCACTGGCTTTTATGCGAGTGCACATTTGCACAATGTGTGTGCAGATATGCTCACCATCATCACCACATGTTCAAGCAGCAGGTGCCGTATGTCCCCCTGCCCTGTGGCGGTGGGAGAGCCCAAAGCTCACATACTGCTCAGTCACACACTTCATCACCCAGGGCTCACAGATCACAGCCAGACAGATGGACCCTGATGGCTGCCTGGACTGTGTGTGAGATGGCCCGCCTGAAATTTGATGGAACAAAGAGTCAGCGGCAACTGTTTTTTGGATTATTGAGAGGATGTGGTGTTTTTATCCTGTAATTATTACAGCTTTTAAACCTCCCCTCTCCCTCCCCTAGCTGTTTGAGAGAGTCCCACTCAGGCTCACACTGCCCCCTCCCCCTCCCCTGCCTGTTAGCCCTTGCAGCAGGAAAAGTGTACCCCCCTGCAGACTGGACCTGTGGCCCTCTCAGGTTCCGGGCGCCGAGGTAACACCCTGGGTGCTGTGGATTAAACCTCAGTCTGTTTCTTTTAACCTCTTCTAACACACATAGGAACCTCCAGTCACTGCTCAGCCTCTGCACACATCCGTTCATGCACTCCTCTCATCTCTTCAACCTCAATTTAACACAGCAGATGTTATTGCTCACCAGTGTCTCTCTTTGTATTTGATGTGCACTCGTCCTGTGCAGAGTACATCAGAGCGGCGGCTGATGTTCACACTAATTGAGCATTTATTCAATTGCATAATGTGGCTTTAAGAATTGATAGTGTTTTTACTTTAGTACTTTGAGCATTTGTACATACACAAGTTATTTAAAAAAAAAACACTATCACATGTAAGCATCTGGCTTTTGTCTGCAAGAGACTGATAACAATCGTCATTCAGTCTCGGATCAAGTGACTCTGCAGTAGACAGGCTTTTATTGGCTCTGACCTGGTAGTAATGGAAACATGAATAAGTGATTTGACAGTCTAGAAGTGGATGCCACAACTTTTCTGGCAACGTTATGACACGCATTTATCTTTCAGGCATCGGTGTGTAAACTTTTGTGTACTTATTTTTTTTTACATCTTGGGAACAACATGAAACAGCTTTTTTTTCTTCCCATCGAGCAAGATGCAACAATGGCAAGACAGCGAGGTTTCTGGCACGTTGGTTTCTGGCACATTGGTTTTCAGTGCGTTCGTCGACATCAAACATGACTCACCTGGCGGGGAAAAAAAAAAATGTGTGAAATTCCTAGACTGACAAGTAGAAAGGTGTCTATCGCCATTTTTTAATGGGTATGAAAACCTGCGTTTACCTGCTAATTTGGTGTCACGCTTGCCATAAAATTAGCTTATTTCCTCTGCTCTCTGTTGCTGAACAGGTTGCCACAAAAATTGGTTTATGTTGATGAACTAAAAGCACTCCATAGCCAGAAGACCTGCAGAGTCCTGCACAGTGCAGGAAGAAACCATCCTGTAGACATAAACCTACTCACACATCTAAAAAGTGTGTTCTCTGCAGTGTGTTTACAATTGTCGCTGATGTTGTGTGCAACAGCCTTTTACATTAATGGGAAATTATCGAGAAACACATAACACACAATGAGATTACTAACTACTCTCTTTCCCCCTTTTTGCATGTCTTATTGTGCAGTGTTCATCAGTCTCACTTGAATATGTTGGAGCTAAAACTAATTAAATTTGTTTGACTTTAAAGCTCAAGTGCTTTCCTCATTTATAGGGAAGTCGCTTGTCTCCAGTCCCTCACATCGTGTTGACAGACACAGCTTCGCCCACTGGCTCTGAGAATCCCGTCAGAGGTTTAGCAAACAGCTCTGTGGAAGAGAGTCCGTCACGAAATTTGATAGGTCATCTCTACAAGACTCAAGTTTCAAACGATGGGGGAAGCTCTCGTCAGCGAGAGCTTAAAAAGGATATGGAATTAAAACAGGAGCTCGCCCTGCTGTTGATGGAGCTGGAGGTGAGGGCGGTGTCTTCTCTTGAGGCCCAGGAGCTCAGCAACACCACAGGAAAAGTTATAAAGACTCTAACCATCTCACCACAGACAAAAGAAGTCTCTGAGGTTCAGCTGGGAGAGCAGCCTCTCCTAGTGCTCTTCAGGGAGGAACAAACAGTCAGAGAGGCCTACACGCTGCTTTATTCCCTTCTGGAGTCAACCAAGCCTGTTCCCAAACCCAGAGTAAAATCTTCCCTTCATATAGGCAGACAGAGCTCCCTGGTTGAGGCCCTGAAAAGAGGGATGGAGACAGGGGACAGGAGGCTGACGCTTCACAACACAGAAACTAAGATTCCTGAGGTACAGCCAGGGTTAGTAAACAGTTCTCTTAAGTCCAATGGCTCGAGTAACAGTCGGACGAACAGTCGGACAGAAGATGTCCGACGCAACACGTACAAGAGGCTGGACAGCTTGGAGGAGACTATTCGAGAGCTGGAGAACACCTTGATAGAGATCAGTGGCCATCCCTCTGCAGAGCAGCTCTACGCTGAGACAACCATTAAAATAACTCCTTCGCAGACCACCGGCAGTCCATCCTCAGAGACCAAGAGGCCCCCGGTTCCACCCAAGCCGTCGTCTTTGAACACAGCATCGATCCAGGTTCTTTGCTCGCACCCACTGTGCTGATTCCTGCTTTAAAGCAGCATGCCCTATTTTCTCTCTTCACTTATTCCCTCTGGGTGGTTGTTGGGACTTTGAAGCCTCTGATGTCTGCTCCCTGATTAAATCGAGCCCAAATTGTGTTTGTAATTGAAAGTATGCAGAAGGGACAGACAACAGACTTCCTTGCTTCTCGTCTATGCTGTGATTAGTGCTGGAGCAGTTGTCCTGCTGGGGAGAGGAGTTGTTGATTGTTTCTTTATTGATCTGTCCTGGCATCTATTTTCAGCCTGTAAACTTTGTCCATCTAACCTTTTGTTACACCACACAGGGAATAAAAGAGTTCCAGAGATAATACAAACATTTCTTTTTTCTATTTTTCTTCCTCCTTTTTCCTCCTCTAGATTTTTCTCATTGTTTTGCCTTGAAGTCATGTCTTTTCCTCTATGCTGCTGTTGTGCTGTATATAAACAAACATAAATGCATATTTCAGGTACTCTGTTTCATCATGTTTGTACGTACCAAAGGTTATGTAGTGATTTGTGTTTCCAGAACTCAGAAAAAACATTGTAGGGAAAAACTCAAGCCAAAAATGTAAAACGATCAAAAGGACACATGATACTTTTTCGTTTTTTTGTGAATTCAAAAGTTCTGCAAAGTTAAAAAAACAAAGCCCAGGTGTACCATAGAAAACACTGCTCCTGAAAGTCCTGAAACACCTCATCACTAGTCTAGCTGTTACATCCGAGGACATCATGATGTCACGTGACATCACAACACTAGTCTAGTACACCTCCTAACAAAGTCAGGTAATGTGAGAGCAAATTTTCCTAAACGTGCTGAAAGCTGTTGATAAATCACAGCAGCTGGCCAATCATAACAGAGTGGACAAGCTGACCAATCAGAGCAGAGTGGGCTTTATCGAGAGGGAGGCCTTAAAGAGACAAGAGCTAAAAGCAAGTGTTTCAACCAGAGGCTGAAAAGAGGAGTTACAGCAATGGAACAATATGAGGAAAGTGAACATTAGAGCATCCTTTACAGATAATAACCCAAATTAAAATTATGAATCTGATTGTGTGTATGATATGTCTTCTTTAAAAGAAAGGTAAAAAAAATATATAGCTAAAAACTTAATCTCAAGTCTTGACTCCAGCACTAGTAAGACTTGTGAACAGAAATGTGTCTATTACACCAAAGCCAAAACCACTTCTAATACACTTCCTATTAATATCTACTGACTTCATGTTTAAGTCAATTACCAGACATTGCGATTAGTCTCCTTTCAACTCACCTCCAGCAGCCTTTAACTCAGCTAAAGAGTGGTGATAATCAAAATTGCATTGCCATCTCAGCTGGTTTGCTGAGGTGTCCTGACAGCCAGCATAGTATCGCCTGTTGCTCCTAATGTAGCCTCCCACTCAGGGCAGGGCTGCAACACTTGACAGTTCCACTGTCATGGTGCGTTTCAGCCCTCTGATGTCGAGCCGGGGAGCATTCCCACAGGCACTGGATGAGGATTACAGTTTCTTGACACATTATTTCATCACCCTCAACTTCACCCACGTTCATCATTTCAACATGACCCCTCATCCTGCTCTTGTTCGACATTTGCTTGCGCACTCACCAAATTCACACTGACAAGTGATCCACTTTCAAGCCCCATTACTGCTCAGTTTTTAATCAGGACAATTGAATGAGGATTCATCCATCAACGATTAAGTATAGCGTATATATTTCAAAATTATGCATTACATCAAGAGAGCGAGGAAGGAAGAGGCACAGAAATGACCATAGCCAAGAAAAATGTGTAATTTGAGACTAGTACAGTTAATCTTTTATTAGTTTTGCTTTCAGCTAATGTCTGTGTGTGCAGAGGAGGCACAGCTGGATGGAAAGTTGACTGAATGTCTGTTTGTTTTTGTGTGTATTAGATTCAGTTGACAGAGTAACTCAGCGGGAAAGATCATTAAGCACACTGCCTCGCAGATCCTGCAGTGAGGCTAGGCTATGCAATGTCAGTTTTGATGCTGCGTTCCTCTATTCTTCACTTTGTCATTTTCTACTGATAGATGCTAAAACCCTGTGAAGTGGATAGTTCAGTTTTAGATTGGCTGAACCTCATTGGTCTCAGGGGACAGACTTGCTTGCTGGAATCAGGCAATCGGGAGTTTTATGTGTTTGTTTGGCATAAGCTAAAGCCGCTGAAGAGGACAAATGAAATGTACTACCATGTACTGCGTTTCCTCGCTCTGATTCACACTGTCTTTCCTGCTCTCCTCAGGGAGGGAATGTCTCCAGCGTCGGTAAAGTTCTCCACACCTCAGCTACCTCCAAGCTGAAGCACCTGCAGCAGAACAGCACAGACAAGACTAAAGGCGGCAAAAGAGAGGACTTTGTGAAGATCCAGGGCCAGCAGCAGGTATTATCTTTAACATTGTTTGGGCCAGTGGGCGTAGATGGGACAGTACCGTACTTTCTGGATACTATTCGCTGCCTTTTTTGGTAGTTAGCCCAGGTCAGAGTCATTATTTCTAGAAACCTTGCACATAAATGAAGATGATTATCATAATGGGAAGACAATTCATATCAATGTGTTCTCAGTCTGCAATTGGGGCAAATAGAGGTAATGACCCATGTCTGTTATAAATCAAGACAGATGGGATGGATGTGGAACGATATTAAAAACATTTGTCACATATACGATATAATAAGTGCATTTGATGACCTTGTTCATCATAGCCACACAACTTCAGCAAACTTTCAACATTTAACAAAGTGTGCGTCAAAGTCAAAGTACATGTAAAGACATTTTTGCCAAAGATGAGAGATGGCAGCACCTTTATTCTGGATATTTTGGCTTAATTTTTTGTTCAATTAAAAAGAAGTTGAGACAGGTTGACCATCTTTATACAGTCAATGATCTACACCCATCAAAAAGCACAAACGTGTTTATTTAGTTTTACATATTAGCATAAAATAATGGTAGTCTTGATGGTAGTCTCATATGCAAGTCTTGAATTTGGTTTTATTGGATTTAAAAATGTTAAATGTTGCCTGTTTGTGTTGATTAGGATATCAGCCCATCCATGCAGAACATCGTGTTTAATTTTGGAAAGCAAGTGAGACATTAATTTATAAAACTTTCTAAAGCTTTCCTCTATACATCTGTTCTTATACATTTGCCTTATAGCTGACTCTGACATCTTTTTTTTAACTTTAATTTGCAAGCATTTTAGTGCTTGAACGTAGAAAAAGACTGGACATAAGGATGCGTGATGGTCTCCAGGGCCCAGGAAATTGAACTGTTGAAGCATGTCAGTCCAGAAAGCCAAAGGAAGATATGTGCACCATGCCCGTGCACAGGGAGGAAAAAAGGTTTAATGTCAATGTAATTTAAAAAATAACAGGAGCAGTGAAGTGCACCTAAACCTCCATACTGCTCAGAATGTGACAGACCGTTCACACACAAATTCATTCTTGGAGATTGCAGGGACATAAATGTGTTGGGCACAGAGAGAGAGATTTGGGAGATGGGGGGAATAATGAAGCTTTGATCGCCTCAGACTGAGAGACGATAGGAGGGAATCTCTCCAGCTCTGTGGGATAATCGCCCCTCGAGTCTGGCAATCACTGATTATTCAATATGAAGTGGACAGTTATCTTTCACCGTCATTAAGTCTTTTCACGTTTCCTCTTCTCTATGTCTACTTCCTTCTTCCGCTTTCTGCCCTTTGCAATTTACACACACTGCCCCTTTCTCCTTTTCACTCCGCCAGTCAGAGTCTTTTATTCCCTGTGATTTGAAAGCAGAATGGCTTCTCACACTTGTCTGATGGGAGTAAAACTAATCCCGTTATTCTAGTATGACAGTCGCACATGGCACACACTCCTCATTCTCAGAGTTGTTGAAAACAGTCACAGTGAAAAAGGGAGTGGACACTCGGAGCTAATTGTTTGCGTGGGAAGTCGATGCCACACCGTTTGAGGTGGGAACATAACTGCAACTGCATGACAAATCACAACACTGACCGAAACCAAGAGAATAAACATTGAGCTGTCTTCGCAATGTGCCAGTAACTGAGATTTGTGGCATTTTGAAGTTTGGCGTGCAGCGAGCTGTAGAGAGATCAAACTGTCAAACTAGAACATCAGAGGTTTTTGTCGAACAAAAACGAGCACAGGACATTTATCAGGAAATCTGAGCTCTCTCAATATACAGCTGCCAGCCAATGTGGTTTTATTACTCTTAATACCAAGACCACTATTACTAGTACTACTTATTAAGCAGATATAAAATTCAAACTTGTACTGGGCACCATAAAGTTCAATATTTAATAGTCACATGAATAAACTCGAATAAACTCATTTATCATTCTTTTGTGTTTCTAAAAGACACTTTTTTTCAAATATCTGTTATTATTTCATATTATTATGCACCATAAAACATACTTATATATTTCATGCTTGTACATTTTATGAATGCTTTTATTGTATGCCTCACAGCTAATACCATTCCCCTGTCTCTTAAGCAGATTTAGCCACTTATCTTATGTTAGTTGGAATAAAAATAATTGTGAATCTACTATCTAGCTGATAATAAACCCAGATTTTTAATTATATAAGCTTAACAAGACTGCATATGCCACCCAAATAACTAAGTGGTTGTGAGTCAGTGTAATGTCATTTATTTTATTTGTAATGCCTTTTTTATTTATTTGAAATTTAGCTCATTTCATAACAAAGGGGAAAACCCCAGTCAATGGAAAACAACAGCACAAATATTTTGAAACCCTGTTGAAACCTTAGTGAAGTCACGATGCTGAGAATCGAGTGTTGTGTTGTCGTTTTCCACAAGCTGTTGCATTTTCAATAGCCTTTGATTTTTGTCTTCTTTTTTTTGGGGGGGGGGGGGGTTTCTGGCACCTTCAATGTCAAACCAAGAGAACAGCACAGATCCTGACAATTCTATTTACAGATGGATGAAGCAAAATCTGTCTCCTGAATATTTTCAAATTCGGCATAAGGCAGCTGAACACGCACTGCATTGGAAAAACATGCTGATTTTCTGCAGTTCATCTCATCAAATTATCCAGGCGGCTGGCTCATTTGCATACAGCCTTTAAGAGCTATTTAGAAACTTTCGTCAACTCTACGTTCACTTCAGCAACCATTTCTTTATTTATCTCATCAGACGTCTGACTTTTCTGAAAATGAATCCTAATTATTGCCACTAAGAAATAAGACATGATGCATTCTGCAACTAAAAATTGAAGCAGGTTATTTTGAAGAAAACATTTGTGTAGAATCTGCAACGTTCAATCAGTCACATTCATCCGGCACCTTTCATTCTGGGAACCACAGATTGATTTATGTTTTATCATTGAGCTATAATATAAAAATGATTCCAATATGAGGCAGTTACTTCCCCTCACCCACATTTTACATTCAAACTCACCCCTGCTTATCACATTTTGACTGATACTGTTGTTCTGACAATCAGACATGCCCACCTTGGGTGACATCTCTACTCGGCCCACAGCTAAAGGTAAAGGTGACTCTTCTCTTAAACCTTCCCTGGACACTGCTCCCTAACCGTAACCCCAAACTTTCCCCCTCCTTCCAGCTCCCGTTGGTGTTTCAGTTCTCTTTTGTCTCCTCTGAACAAATTATAATTTACATTTCTAGGGCGTTTTGTGTGGGGGCTCGATCTCAAGAAATTGGCTTGTGGTCCCAGTTGTTGTCCCACCCCCAGCTAATGCATTAGTTGATCTGAATATCTTAATACCGTTAAAAATAGTGGCTCTGGCAGAATCTGAAGATTAACAGCAGCGATAAATAAAAGGCAGCTGGTGCTTGAGACAGTTAAACATTTTTTTGGACCTCACTCTGAACCCAGTGTAGTCGGATAAAACGAGACACGCTGGCACCACTTTTTGGATTTGGCTATACCACATGTCCACAATCCACGAAATACCTCTGAAAACAGCGTAGAAGCATTCAATCCAATTCAATTCAATGTTACTTGCTCCAAATCACAGCTTACATTATCTCAAGGCGCTTTACATAGTGAGGTCGAGACCTTACAATATTACAGAGAAACAACAGCTCCCACAACGAGCAAGCACTGACGACAGTGGAGGAAAAAAAACAGGAAAAAACCTCTAATACAGCCAACCTAAATGTGGGGGGCCGTCCACCTCGACTGGTTGGGGTGAGTGGAGAAAATTAGGGGAGAGAGGAGAAGTGGGTGGAAAAGGGGAGAGAAAAGAGAGACTGGTCTGTCAGACTGGTTGTGAAAAGGAAAATAATCCAAATGATAATTATAGATGTAATGGTGTTGTTAATGATGTTTAATAATGTTAAAGTGGCACCACATAATAGTAGTGATAATACTACTACTACTAATAATAATAGTAATAATAACTATTATAATAATAGCTCCTCCAGCTCTGGAGTCAGGGTTAACCACAGAATGAGAGAGAGACCAAGAACAGTTGCATAACCATCATATTCAGGCTCCGTCAGAGTGGTTGTCATAGTGAAAATAATGATACTTACAGATATATTGGTGTTATTGATTATAGCAGCAATAGTAGTAGTAATGCTAATAATAATAATAGCAGAGTAGTGTCAGATCCGGATCCTGAAGCTCTGGAGGCGTAGATGCCTTTAATTAATGTTGATGTTTTGAGTATCAGGTTTGTCGTTAGATTGGACTCTGATGGTATCTGTCTATGTTAATTGCAGGTGTTAAAATTAACAGAGCCTCTATGATGGTGCTCTGTGCCGCTGAGCCCGCACCAGAGCTTCACTGAGAGGCATTAGAGCATTTCAGGCATGAGGATTCTTCAAATCAATGTGCCGGATAGGAACAGACAGTTCAAAACCACAATTTCTCCCCATTTGCTTTGGCACAGATCAAGGAGGGCACGACAATGTGAATCACTTTCACGCCTCCAAACCGCAATTCATTTTCCCATTTGGCTTCTTATTACTTCTGGCGGCAAAGCGGCCTAATTAAAGGTGCTGGGCATGAGGTAAAGGTTGTGAAAGCCTGTCCTGTGAGGGAGACTTTTTGGCAGGACGCTCTGAGAGATGAAGGGCGGCTGCCGTTTTGCCGCACCCACACACCAGAATAAACGTGTCGGCCGGGCTTGAGAGAGGTTCCTCGAGCAGAAGGAGCAGCACTGCTCTGGGGATGGTTGGCACAGCACGGACTCTGGAACTGCAACAGAGCAGGTGAAACCCTCCCAGCAGTGCGGTCTAGACTAGAACACCTGCTCATACAGGACTAATCCTCATTATGCCTCATACAAAGACTATTTACATTTTTATTGCAGAGAAAAAACTTTTCCCTGTTTCCCCTTATGAAAAACATAAATACAACTTGAATAGTTTAACATTAAGTGTAAAATTGACTCTCTCTTTTCTAAACCTGTCTTACATATTGCTTTTTGTCTTCCCTGCACATAAAACATACACGCTGTTTCTGTCAGATTCAACTTAGCTCCACCTGTAAAAGAGAGAGACACATGCTGTGAATGTGTTACCCTCAAGTTTCACATGTTGGAACAGTGCTCCCTACTGGCTGATTCCAGCATTACATGAAAGGACTGAAGGGGAGATGCTGTGTGTCCGGGAGAGTATTTTGCACTTTTTTTAATGAAGGACTATCATTAAAAACAAGTGCCAAAATAAAGATGGTCAAAGGCGTAGTTTGCAGTTGACCACCTTCACTGTTGCGCCCTATGACAAAAGTTGTGTTTAAAGGTTTGGTCACCATGTGTAGATGTCGGCCTGTCTTGTGGCTCACATCAAACATGCTGATATCAACCCCAATAACGATCTCCTGTGTTTGTCTCTTGTTTCCTGTTTCCCCCTCTCCCTCACCCTTCCAACCCTTTACCCCCCCACTACATGTCTCCTGTTGACACTTGTTCCTGCGGCACGACCTCACCCAACCCTTCACCCTGCGTGAAAACCCCCGCACTCTGCATTTCCTGGCCCGTCCGCCCTCTGCAACTGTGACCCTGCAGCAGTGAGCCACCTCTCCGTGTCCGGCCTCTTCAGTCTCCTTCTTCTCATGTTCACCCGATGACACATCTCCATCTGCCTCCTTTTTACTTTATTAACTCCCTTCACATCTCAAGTGTTTTCTAAAATCAACCCTGAACGCCAGTCTGTGTGCATTTGTGGACGTGTGTGAGTGTATGTGTGCAAGCATGCGTGCACGGGCATGTTTGACTGTATTGGTGAGGGAAGGAGCCTGAAGGGGACAGTGCCCAGCCACAACTGTTTGTAAGACTTAAGTTTTTCATGATTTCCCCTTTTGATCCTTTAAAAAACATCATCTCTTTACATTCCAACCCTCCCACCTCCTGTCTCCTGTGTCCCTGCTCTACCCTGAAGGCCTTGGGGACCAACAGAACCAGCAGCAGTATTGAACCATACCTCTCTGGCATCAAAACGGGCATTTTCTCAAGTCGAGCAGCCTCTCCTTCAACAGCGTTTACCCCTGGCCCGAGGAAGCACCACAAGGAGGGGGGAATACCGTCCTTGACAGCCTCCCCTAGTCAAGCAAAGGCGCTGCTGGCAAGCCTGACCGCCTCCGGCTTGAGCGCAGAGGCCCTGCTCCTCTCCTCCACCCTCCGTCATCACCGGCTTCTGCGCGAGCAGCGAGCCTCCTCCTTGCCTCTGCCCAGCAGCAAGTCCTCTTCTCCTACTCCTACTGCCTCCTCTTCCTCCTCTTCCTCACCCACCACCCCTACTCCATCCCTGTCTCCCTCCTCTCCCACCCCCCTGAGTTCCCTCACCCTCCCCTCTGGGGTTCTCAAGCCCAGCGGTCGTAGCCTTGACAGCTGCAGCCTCGATGAGGAGGAGGGTAGCGAGCCTGTGAATAAGGACCTCACCCCTGGCAACTCTCTGTGAGGAAGAGGAAGAGGAGGATGAAGACATAGAACAATGCATTTCAAGCCTCCTGTCGTCACGAACCATTACCATTTTTAAAGATTTATTTCTTTTTTTTCCCTTGTTCCTCTTCTCTACTTTTGTCTGCAGTTTGCAGAGTCATGACATTTCCATGGAAAGAACTACCATTCTATAAATGGAGTCACAATCTTCCTCTTGGAAAAGTTTCCTCCTCTGATCTGGCTCCACAGTTTCTCTGAAGTTCTCCCACACACTCATACTGCCAGTTTCCCAGCTCGAGGGCCCTCCCCTCCCAGCAGCCTGCTATAAGCTGACGCGGTCTGGATGAATTAACTGACAGCGCCGATCTCATGTATACCCTCACTCAGTGGGTCGTTAGTGGAGTAGATATATAATATCTGTGACTTTTATCATAGAAAATAGAATGCAATAATCACAAAGTGAGTCCTGTAGTCGTGTGTGTTCTGGATAATATTACTCTCACTTACCTGCATCACAGCAGAACGTGAGCCCGCTCAGAAAAAAAAGAAGAAAAAATCAAAAGTAGATCGAGGTGATGGTTGTGGTTTTAAGCTGTTCAAAGGGCATTTGTGGCTTTTCTTGCATCACATGTGTTTTACATTCTGAACTGGTGCTAAGTTTTCCCCTCTGTTTGTACACACTGTGTGAAGAGTTTACATGACTGTCCCTGACCTTTGACCTGCGCTTTGTCTGCTATCAATTCATAATATCTATATGCAGATATTCCCTACGAAAGTTAGGAATTAATTATGAAAATATTATTGAAATAACACTATACCTACAAAAGCACACTGCAGGAAGCAGTCCTATTATAGCACATATTCAAAATGGAACAAACATGCACAGATACACAAACAGAAGGGAAAAAATGCAAATCATGTAAACAAATGTTCATACAGATGTTATATACAAAAGTTGAATCTCTGTGAGTGTGTACGAGCTAGTGAATTATGACAATCAGGATGTTCCCACTGTAGCATCTCACAGGTTGCTATGGCATTTTTAGCACCTGACATCACCCAACCATCCCAAAGACTCAAGCACATCCGGCTACAGATAACACACACACACATTCTGTCACACGTGTAAACCCAAGCTGTTCGCAGAAGCACAGACCCTGCTAGTTGAAATGTGCTTTTTTTGTTCAGGAATTTTGGGTGATGATTCATCTTAAGTCTCATCTGTTGAAAATAGCACTCTGGTTAAAACATGCTACATCGACTGGAACATGATTTTACCCTGATTTTTACATTTTCAATTTGCAGACCTTATTGAAGAAGCTTCTTTATACAAGAACAAAATGTATCTTTACTCCAGTGAATTGATGACTCTTGACATCATTTCAACCCTTGGTAGTCTTTGAAAGATAAATCAGCACATATTTAGGAACTCCAGATGCAGTGCGACTCTGAAAGGGTCTGAGAGGAGAATATATAGAAATATAAATCGAGCACAGTTTCCTCTAACACACATTTCTGACCCTAATTTTCACTTATTGCATCTGGTTGATCATGACGAGCACAAAATTACAAGGGCGAGAGCCGGAAAAACATTCCCGCACATTTAAAATGCTGTACATTAGATTTAGCCGACGTTTCCGTGGCCTCGTTTGGTTTCTATTACCTGCATGTTCAAACATGAAACATTTATGAATGTCCGGGCCTCGGAGTTCCTCAGTGACAGAAGTATAAAGCACCTCAAAGGTCTATCAGTGTGACCCCTGCACAAGGAACCATTCTGAAGCTCCCTGTCCTGTGTTGCCGCCTTGTGCCGAGGTTGAACCGACAGTCGTAGACAAAGTGATTTTTTTGACCGCGTGAAATCGATTAATTTTGGCATTGAGATTAAAACATGTGCAAAGGGGCTCATGTCAAAGAGAAGGCAGCTTGAGGAGAGAGGATTAGTTTGGAGACGTGTCTGAAGGCTACTTTAATAAGAGCGGCTTTGAGTTGCCGTCTCCATCGAGAGCACTCGTGACATTAAGGACCCAAAGAGATGAGAGGAAGGGTTTGACAGTCAGGGAGCCATTAAGCAGCTGTTCTTTCCTTGCCCCTTTCACTTTGCTCTGTCTTTGGTGTTAGTCCTCAATGAAATAAAAACCGCTCAGTTGAGGTTACACTGGTTCAAAGTTTGATGGGCCTCAGTTCTGAACAGTGCAATATGTAATTAGCACTCTTACAACTTAACCAAGACAGTGCTTTTACCCTTTGGGAAACCCCTGCCTGTTTTTCTCTAGAAGGACCTGTACCAGTGTTTTTTTTCCCAGTGCCTCTAAGATTTTGTTCTTGCCAGAAGTCCGACGTTGATCTCGTGTGACAGTATTAGATCGACAGCAATGACAGAATAACACTTTTACCCAAAGAAGAGGCTGCCAAAAAATATGGGCTTACCCCCCATTTTTTTTGTGCAGCAAAAAAGAAGACCACACTTGAAATGCAGAGTGTGTCAGGTTGCAACGGTGACATGTGACCAAAACACTCAGATCTGTCAAAGTGCAAAACTGCGAGCCCACAGCGCAGCGAATTAAGCCTCACCCTGGGCGCTCTGCAGCTCTGCCAAGCAGGTTCAAGCCCTGGGCTTCGTATTGAGTGAAGTCAAATGAAAGAAATTCACTTACTCATGCTGTTCCACTCTCAAATCCATAACTTTTCCGAGTTGAATTTGCTGCATTGACGTCTGGAGCGCATTGGGGAGGAAGTGTTCATGCTTGGCCGCTTTTCCCCAAGTGACATCTGAGATGAAACCCTATGAGAATTGCGTGACGTTGCCCTCTGGAATTTTTTTTTTTTTTTTTTTTTTTTCAAGACAAGTGTTGCTGTGATTTCAACATGGCTGAACGCTTAGAGGGCATGTTGCGGATACCCCTGGCAATCAGAAAAACTCTTGCAAACTTGAAATCAAACCTAGAAGAAATATACATATATAAATATATCTAAGTGCGATGTTTGTGTATGATATTATAATTGTGAAGAAAAGTGTGATATATATATAGGCCTAGATTAAATTATATACTGTAAAATGTCATCATCTCTTCGGTTTTATATATTAGTGACCATTTTGTACAGATTTTTTTTCTTTTTTAACTCATTGTAAGAGATAATAACATTTCACACTGAGATTATTTATTCATATGCAGAACATTTTTATATTTGTTTAAAAATATCTGTATAGATAAGAGTTAGCCTCTGTAATATACACTGAAGTTAATTTTTTTGAATTCTAGGCTTTTCTTTATGAACACTGAGTTAAATATAATTTTCATTTATGAAAAGCCTGTCCCTGAAAACGCTCGTCCAGCTCCGGTGCACCTTCGCCTCCTTATGTGAAGGGTAACATTGAGGTGTCAGAGTCTGGACCAGTGCCTGTGCTTCGGGGCTTATTTTGCTACTATCTTTTGATTTTGGGGGTTATTTTGAGTATCTGTGGTCTTTTTTTCCTCCCACCCCATCTTGTGTTTGTGGTTCAACTGGCATTAGTGATAGTGGAGATGGTCAGATATTGTCACTACTACTGTGAGAGAAAAGTCAATTCGCCTGAAGGCTTCATTTAGAGCCTTGCTGCTTTGATGTTAAGGAGTTAAAAAGGCTTTATTTTCCCTCCATGTCATGTTTGCATGTGAACAGTAACAGTAGCAGTGTGGACGCTCAGTGCAGAAGCGTTCAGAGGCAACACACTCTGAATCATCACAACAGGTGGGAGCACGTGATGTCGCTTATTCTGCTCCAGTTGTTGCACCAAGTGGCTTTAAGTAGCAGTTAAGCGAAAACACAAGCTTTGTTAAAAAAACACCACAACGGATCAAAAAGGGAATTACGTGACGTTTTATCTCTTTCTTTGCCATTGTATCTTTTTTTTTTATATAATGAACCTACATTCTATAGTATGTATATGAGGTTTTTACATGAATGTGTGGATGTTCCAAAATCTTGGCATCGAAAAGCAGAGAAAAACAAAATTGACTTGTAAATAGGCCGAGTCATTCCTAGCGAGTTCAACAAATTGTAATGTCCAAAAGAAGATGTTTTATGAATAAACTATGACGATGGGTACAAAGTTATATACAAAACAATGCATGTATAGTTTCAAGCAATCGCACGGTGCAGTTGAAAAAATGTTGTCTCCATGTTTTCTCAAAAAGAAATGAGAACAAGAGGAAGAAGAAAGTGTTGTCTATGTTAGAGGTTTACAAAGATGAAGAATGAAGACATTATTCTGGTATCTGTGACGCAGGCATGTTCAGTCTTACTGTGATGTTATGTGATGATGATGATGATGATGATGATGATGATGATGAATATGAATATGACGATGACAATAGAGTGCTGAAAGTCTAAGAGGTGGAAATGCTTGAACGCACCCCAACCAGAGACGTTCGCCAGCGTTGGTGAACTCTTTCCACAGAGTGATTCTCCCATTTGTAGAGTAGTGTGATATAAGAACAAGAATAACACAGAAAATAGATCTATAATATAATGATATATAAATTTAAAAGCCTACTGATACTGGAGATACTAATTTATCAGTGTGGATGCCATGATATTCTGTGAGATGTGTGTGTTTTTCCTGTGAGAAGACAGCAGGCAGTTGAACCTGCCTTCTTTTGTACATAACTTGCTGTGATTGTGTGTCCAATAAAGTGCAGCTCTCTTGTACAGTGCTGGCATCGGAGTTTGCTTTACACTGACTTCAGAATTTATCTTGCATATGTTTCATCCATACGCACATTATCTATCCTGCTTGGGGGAGGGGGGAATACAAATACAGAATCAGCAATTAAAGCAAGTTTTATTTATTTTAAAGATATGAGGCATTGCAGAAATATTTCATTTTTGGAATCAAGTTCTGTTGTAATAAAATATCTATTTACAGAACAAATGCACAAAAATATCGCCAAAAATACATGCTATTTAATATATTTTAAAATAACTGTATATGCAGAACACTAAAGTACATCTCTCTTGTACAGAGTTTGCTTTACAATGACTTGCTTGAAATGCAACATCCACAGTTGGATGTTGCATTTGAGAAAATACAAATACATGGTCGAACAATTTTTATCTTAAAATAGTCATGATTTTCTTTTACATTCAACAATACACTAAATCCCAGAGAAACATTTAGTTTTTTAGATGTAAAATAAAAGTCACTGACTGTTGCATTCATATTTTTATTTACAGAACAAATATACTAAAATATTGGCAAAAATACATGATGCTATTTTTCTCATTATATGTTTGATATGAGTTTATATGCAGAACACTTTAAAGTGCAGCTCTGGTGGCATCTGACCTTTACTTCATACATTATTGCATCTTTAGCATTAGAAAATGTTAATGCAAACTGGATGTTGCAGATGAGAAAATACAAATACAGCATCATGGTTAAAAGAAGTTTTATTTTGAAATACGTGAAGGTTTTCTTGTTAGACATGAGATATTACAGAAATGTTTTGTATTTTTGCAAGATTTGGAATCAAATTCATAGACAACTGCATTAAAAATATCAAAAGTATATCTATTTACAGAATAAATGGTCAAAATACACAATGCACTTTTGATATAAATGTATATACAGAACTGTTGTTCTTTTTTCTGTTTACTTGACTGGGATTCCAGGTACATCTGTTAAAAATCAAATAGGCTTGGACCAGACATGCCTCAAGTATCCTGACGCTGCGCTGGCCGTCGAACATCTGTCCGCCTGTATGGCGTGTTTCTCAAATCTGAGGCAGAGCAAGGACGTGTACTGAGATTCACCTCACTTTAAATATCAAAACATGCAGCACATGGTATATTGAAATATAACGTACCTGTAATGATGTCTTCCAGAGCGCCGTCCTTCCCTTCACGTACCTGCGGCTTCACCTGCCTTTTCTTCAGCTCTGCTATCAGGTCCATCTGAGGCATCTTGGGCATCATAGGCCCCTGGGAAGAAATATATAAAATAACAAATAGACATTACAGATACATATTAATGAGGCATAATTCATAACACTGAACCTAAAATCTCTTACCTTTTGCCCCCCTGCTTTTTGTGGAGATGGCGACTCTTTTTCCTTCCCGCTCTCACTCTCCATTTTCTTTTTCTGCTGAATCTCTTGCTGCGCTGTCTGTGTTTAATCCAGAGGCAAAATAAATTCTTGTTCAATTACAAATTCCAATCACACCATGAGGGATAAAAATCCGAAAGCTGCCACACATGCTTACCTTGTAGGCTTTTATGAGACGTCCGAACATCGGGAAAAACATGGAAGGCTGCGTGGTTTTGGGGTTCTCTCCGAAATACTCCACCACAGAACCGTAAGCCTCCTGGAGAGAATGCATGTGTGTGAGCATGTTATAAGATGCTGTTCAGGGTTGTGTATAAGTTTGATGTGAGCTGTGGGCTAACCTGTGCTGTCTTGCTGTCTTTGATTAAAGACTCCAGCTGCTCACTGTTTTCCTTGATGAATTCCTTCAACACGGTGCTGTCATCCTGCACCAGGAACTCCTTTTTGGTCATCTCCATTCCTCGTTGTAGCGAGCGGATATCCTGAAGAATGCCGTCCAGGGACGCTGGCAAAGAAAGATCATTTAGTTAAGCACCTTTCCTGATTTTCTATAAAAAACAAGCTCCATAACTTAAGTGTGTCACTGTTTACTGAGAGCTGCCTTGTCCACAAAGTGTAGCTCGGTGTGGAAGTCGGCCAAGTCAGGGTATTTTTCCTGGATGATGTTGGTGATGAAATGCAGCAGCGTCTGCGAGCGGTCAGTCGACTTGGTCTCCAACAGCTGAAAAGTACAGATATTGAAAATGTTGATGTGGTTGTAAAAGTTAGCTTGAAATGAAAAAGTAAATCTACTGACAAGATCTACTCACCATGTCCAGACTCTGCAGCCGAAAACCGTACACTGCACCTCTCTTACTGCTGTTCATATAGTTACCGAAGGCGAGGATGATCTAAGGGGGAAACACATGAGATGACTTATTCAAAACCGCACATTTGGAAGCCACATCAGTACGTCGTGGTGTCTTTCACTTACTTCTAAAATCTTTTTCAGCTTCACTGAAGACTTGATGGACATGGATGCAGCAATGATGGAGTTTAGTTGCTGCGGATGAAAGAAAAACAGAATCAATACATCTGGTTAAAATCTCAAGTCTCCTCCAACCCAAGCTGCAATGCTTTTGACAAACTGACCGGCTGCAGGTGCTTGACAGTGTCTGGGAAATTGCCCATGAAAGTGAGGGTTTTTATCCGCTGGTTCAGACGAGGAATCTTCCCAAAGCGCAACATAAATTGGTCCTCGTTGGCCAGCTCCTCCAGTGGGCGGCCATCCTTCTCGTAGTTAATCAGCAGCTTCATCTCAAAGTCTGATGGTATGAAGTGCTCGAGCAATTCCAGGAAGTCTATGGACAAAGCCTGCTGGTCGTACCTGTGCAAAACAGTAGTACCACATCAGCATGTGTGTATGAGAAAGTGGGATGAAGAGGATATAAATCTGTTTGATGTAGGTATTTTCAAAAAGAGGCATATACGTCTCGATGGCGGTGCAGATTGCAGATGGAGTCTTTCCTCCCTTGCGTAGCGTGATGGCCAGATTCTTGGCCTTGTTGGTCTCCATCAAGGATGTCTTGCTGGGGGCCTTCTGAACCACCTTCTTCTTCACATTGGACAAGTCTGTTGTATTACTCTGGGCCCGAGTCTTGAACACGTCCTCAAACATATCCATGTTTAGCTCCTGATGTCGACAGAAGAAGACAAATCATTTCAAGTCGTCTCATATCAAACAATTTCCTCTGGAGATATTCTGGAGGATGCTTTTTCTTACCTCTAAGACCTGCTCATCATCTAACTCATTGAAGACTGTGCCCGACACCTGGTTTGGTTGTAAGGCCTGCCAATTTAACAGCGGCATCCTGAACTTGGTCTGAATTGGCTTCTTGCTCTTTAATGCTGAGGAAACAGGAGAAGAACTGATTAAACAAAGAAGATCTTTTTCTGATCGTTTGCTTCCAACCTGGGGGAGTTGCCGCTACTTTTCAGATTTTTCCTCTAAACTCCTTACCAGGTGCGTTTGGCACTCCGGGAGGGGGTGCGGGTCCACCACCAAATGGGGGAGGTGGAGGTGGTGGTCCGGCAACAGGTAGTGGAGGTGGAGGTGGTGGTCCATTACCAGGTGGTACAGGCGGGGGAGGCGGGGGTGGCGGGGGTGGTGGTCCAGCACCAGGTGGGGGAGGAGGTGGAGGAGGAGGCGGGGCAATCTGTCCTGAAGCACCAGGAAGGGGCGGAGGAGGAGGTGGTGGTGGTGGAGAGGAAGGGAGGCTGGATGCTGGGCGGTTTGAGTCCACTACACTCAGGCCGCTGGGCTGAGTGACTGCCGGGGCGGGGACTTCGACGTATTCGACCACGGTGATGGGCACGACCTGGATGTCCAGACCTCCCGAGGCGCTGCGCCCCAGTCGGATCAGCCCCTTGTCCTGCAGCTCGTGGATCTTCTGCTCCAGCTCTGAGATGGTCTGAGGGGTGGAGGAGCTCAGACGCTCCCTGTCTTTCTCCCTCTCATGGTCCAGCTCACGCTCTCTTTCTTTCTGCTGCAGAGCACTAACCTGGGAACAGGACTCCCGCAGGCTTTCCTGTAAGATATAAACAATTTACTGCAACTCCACAAAGACCATATAATACACAGTCTGTCTTCAGGCTTTATAAGAGATAATGTTAAGATGACTATAGGTGAGTTTGCTAGTGTGCTGACATTAACTAATTAGCACAAAACAATATTTATAGCTAATGAAATGCCATTCCTTTTGAATTTTGCAAAAAATAATGAACTATGCCAACAGTTCATAGCATCCATTACTATTAGATATTTAATTTGTTTTTTTAAATCCCTCTGATGGTGGAGCTAGAGTAAAATCCCAGGGATCATTCACCCTCTAGGACTTGGATGGATGGTGGGAAATTCCTCAATCCGTCAAATAGCCATTGCAATATTTCAGTCTGGGCCGACGCTGTCATCCAGAGCCATGCTGCTAAAGATGATTATATTTTTTCCTTTCAAATTACAATTATTCAAATAAAGTGAATTGCCACTCTTTTGGAGTCATTATTACTAATCGCTGTGCTTTGGTTGGCTAATGAATCTTATTAAACACTGTTTGTGTGAGTGAGCAGCACTTACTTTGAGCAGCTCAGTCTCTTTGGTCGCCTGCATCAGCTGCGTCTCAAGTTCAGATAATCGCTCTGTCATGTGATCCTCGATCTCCTGGAGCTGAGCACTCAACTGCAACACAACACCCAACAACATTGCTTTAATATCCCAACATCAGAAGTCTGGATACCCTGAGATTCCTCTAGTTTTTTTATTTTGCTGACCTGGACATTGTGTTCCTGCAGCTCATCCACATGTTCCAGCACCCCTCCTCTGCTCTCAGCGTCCTCCAGCAGGGCACCCACATCCAGCACATTGTCCAGGTAGGCCTGGATCTGGACCTGCAGCTTATCGCTCTCTGTTTGTTTCAGACTCTAGCACACAAAGACATTTAAAGAGTGACTTATTATAAGAATATACTAAAATTTATATTAATATCATTAAGAATAGATATGTTTACAGTCATAATATGCATATTTAAAGGGTATAAGTCATATTGTGTACAGGTCTTTAAGTTTATGACTGAATTGCAGTTTAAACAGTTATGATTCAGCAGGTGAGTTCCTGTCTTTGAAAAACAGACACTTATAGGATATGAGAATATCTGTTATTATACTCATACACACATGGGACCAGATCATCTTTTAATGTACAGCACATTTATAAACGTTATTCAAATTACACATGTATATGTTAGATATTTATATATATATTGGCAGTTCATTCCCTGCTCGCCATGACTGAGGTGCCCTTAAGCAAGGCACCGCCCCCCTCCCCCCAACATCTGCTCCCCGGGCGCTGACAACAGCAGCCCATCGCTCCAGTATATGTGTGTTTCTATGCATGTGCATGTTTAGACAGGTGCCAACTGGATGGGTTAAATGCAGAGAACAATTTCATGCATGTATGCATGTAAAAGTGTTAACGTGACAATAAAAGTAAATCTTCTTTTTATTTCTCTGCCTTTTCCCCTCCTTTAGTTAAATTATTCATCTGATCCTTATTATTTTCACCTTCATAATAAACAACTTTTACTTACACCGAATCTGGTTTTATTCTGCTTCCCCTACCCCTAGTGAGCTGAGTCGTAACAGTCAACATAACATTGGTGTTGCAAAAATGTCAACTGCAGCAGCTTTAGTCACATTGTTCTTATGGGTAAACCAAAGGTTACACTGACTACTTTTAATAAATACTCACCTCAAGATATTTGTCTAATCCAAGGTGAGTGAACTCGTACTGTAGATGCACACGGAAGTTCATGTTCTCCACTGAATGGACCACGATGTTGATGAACTGCATGCACGCCACCTGGAAACGGATGCAGTAGACAGTTAAATCTCAGCTACACCTGCAACTCAGCAGCCAGCGTTCAGGAAACATGTCTACACCTACCATGAAGTCAATGTTGCTGTCATCATTGATGAAGTACTCCATCAGCTTCTCAAAGCGGTTCCTCTCTTTGCTCACCTGAGAAAAAGATATAAACTAATCTGAATATGCATTTTAATTGCTGTCCACACGGGGGAGTAGGGAGGAATACATGCAAAATGAATTATTATATCAGTCAACTTAAACCTTTACATTCTTAGCCCTGCACCATACTTGCATTTAGCGTTGCACACACAGGCATGGCTGTTTTACATGGGCTAACAATATGACCACAGTGCATGTGAGAGACTGTGTCAGTCCCAGGGTGAGTAATGCAAAAGGGGAAGTTTGAAACAAAAGGTCTGAATAAATGAACAACAGTCAAATCTGGCCACATGTCGCTGTATTGTCATATCACTGCTAAAAAGTCAGTTCACCTCTTTGAAGTTGTCAAAAGCAGAGAGAATGATGTCGTGTCCTCCTCTGACGAGACACACGGCAGCCAGCAGCTCTAGGACGAGGGCTTTAGTCCTGTGGCAGCAGAGGAGAGGAATGCTGAAAGATCCGGATACAGAGGTGGACAACATGCACGCGTTGTCTGACACACAGACGCACTCACCTGGGATTCCTGCTGTTGAGACTGAGGGTGATCTCGTTCACACAGCGTGGGTGACTCATCACCTGGTTGAAACCGGACTGAGAACAGAAGTGGGATGTTAACAGAGAGCTGATATGGTTAAAGATGCAGGAAAAGAGTTTGTGCTTGATCTGAGGAAAACTAGCCTGAAAATGATTACGGTTAAAGTGTTGAGTGAAATAGAAGTGGCAAAAGTGGAATTAGACCAATTACACCAATCCATTCCCAATTCTTGTAAAGTAAGGATGCTCTACCTGGTAGTTCATTATGGCTCGCAAGCACATTATGCACACATGCACGTCATCTCTCTGGGTGGATGAATGGGACTTTTTATGTATTTTGTTCACCAGAGTGGAGCTTATTCTGCGGAGGGAGAACAAATATACACATGATTTGACACTTGAGAAATCTAGGTTATTGTGATGTCTCAGCTTAAAGAGAAATGTATAAAATAGAGTATAGAGTGGTATAAAGACATATTAAGTAAAACAAAATGTGCCTGCTGCATTTACATATTTTACAGACATAAGATTCTTCTGCAGTTGTTTAATCAATCGGGCCCGTCACTTTTTATGACAGCATTTGTATTGTTGAACAAACATTGCAGTTTGACACAGTTCAGCTCATCTTGTCACCATCTCGGCAACATGTCACCTTCACACCACTTCAGTGGCAGACTTTTCTTTTAAATCAGGGACATGCACATTTAAGTCCTTGTTTACTGTTAGATGTATAGCCACGCATCATGAATATAGTTTGAAAAATTGTTATTTGTAATATCATTTTTTTTATAGACAACTGACAGGACTTCAGGGGCTAATCAGGATTACAGCTCTATGAGCTGTGACTTCCTCTTTACTAAATTCATGATGTGAAGTGCACTATATTTACAATTGTGTGAGTGTTGAGAACTGTGCAAAACTCTTCTTACCTCACAGTTAGTGCTCGGGCAGCTCTGGTCATCCCATGTGAATGGGAGCCACTGGAGCTCTTGGTCAAATCTTCCATGGACCTCTCTGCCGGCTTTGCTCTGTCTGAGAGGGTGCCGCCATTTTCAAGGCTCTCCACATCGAATCTTCAAAAGGACAGAAACACAAAATAAATGGTAACAAATCTTTTGTTTTCATCGCCATCAGTTTCTGAGCCTGCTGGTACTCACGAGACATCACTTTGAGCATGAGACAGGTACTCCACCAGGACACCCAGACCATTATTCTGCTCGTTGAGAAACTCTTGGGCCCATCTACAAAAAGACCCAAAGCAGAAAAAAGTTTGAGGAGTGAAACGCTGATTAAGAAAGATAATGAATGACATATCTCAGATTCTGCACTGAGCTTGGATTTAAACTATGTAACGTTTGATGAAACAATGATAATCTTTCTTTCACAAATAAAAATGCTGAATTCATAAGAAAGTAGCTCATGTTCCATTGATAATTTTTTGGATAAAATAATAAAACTAAGACTAAACTACAAAGTAATAAGGTGTGTAAAAAACAGGATGGAAAAAGAAAAAAAATTCAAACTAAAAGGAGATATATAGATCAAAAATCTAAGATGAATAACATTTTTGGATAATAATAATAATAATACATTATCATACTATTAATAAATATGATAAGAATAATCATCATTTAAAACTTTATTTCAATAGTAGTTATCTAAACAAGTTATAAAGGTTGCAACAGGGTAAAACAAAAACCACTGTCAAACCCAAATATTCACATAAACATTAAGTAGAATCCATTGAAACTCAACAATCTCACCCAATGTGATTGGTGCGGAGTGATATCTCCAAATCTTTAAGAACCTGAGTAGCATCTTGGATCCTTTTCTTCGACTAAAGAAGCAGAACATGTAAGAGTAAAGACACCATTGTAGAAAACTAAACCTGTGTCAGATATGAAAATGGAGGATGATGCTTCACTCTGACCCTGCGAGACACCCCTCCTTGATCCTGGTAGAAGCTCCTGATCTTGGTCAGGTAAGTGGATGGGGGACTCTTCACCTGGAAACGCTCCTGAGGAAGAAATATGCACACAGAACTGAGCGAAACGTCACTTCTGACAACTCAAGATTGATGACAGCACAGGAAACTTTTTGTGGTGCAAGTGTTATTATTGGGTGTGAAATACGAGAGACACAGAACAGTCTCTGTCTCCATGCCAACCTCACCATGATCACTTGCCACCACAAAAACTGCACTGCACACTTTTCTCACTGTGGTCTGCTCTTCATTACATGTCCACTCTGTTTATCTACTTTGTATCAACTCTGCCACAGTGAAGGTTTCAGTACAAAGATCCTGGATTCATAAAACCAACATATTATATTTATCAGCACATAAAAAATATTCTTACCTGATCACAGACCAACTCCCACTTCTTGTCGTTGTCATATTGACTCAGGAGCTGTAGTTTATCTGGAGGCAGGTTCATGTAGCTCTGAGAGAGATAGACAAAAGGTTGTTTCAGTCTATAAGGAGTCTGAGGTACTTAAGCACATTTTTCATGTGTCTGTGCTTTACTTAAGTAGTTATTTTCGGGTACTTTTCACTTTTACACTTATTAACATATCAGCTTTCTACCCCATAACATCCTCACAAAGCTTTGCTTTATAGGTTCACATTGATTATAACAAAAATTGAATTAATCAATATGACTGATCGAATCAGAGCAGGAAGGGATTCAGAGGCCGAGACTCAGTCACAATAATGGAGTAAATCTTTGCATTAGGGAACAAAATGCACTTAATATATTTAAAGGCAATTAGAAAAGTTAACGCCTAACTTGAAGTTTTATTTGCATTTTTGTGTTTTTATTTGTTGAGTAAAATGTTGCCGTACTTCACACAACTGCACTTTCAGTGTGAAACAAGAGGGCGTTCAGCCGGATGCACAGATGACTCAGTGTTTACATGAATGTATTGAGGGTTGTCAATGGGTACCATGTAAATCAGAATACGACAAAGAAATACTCAACTAATATTAGAGCCTTTGTGTGTGTGATGAACAAATGTCAAATTTGATCCTGAAACACAACCTTTAATAAAGGTTGAAAAAAAGCATGTGTATAAAATTAAGAAAGGGCAACACCACTTAGAACCATTTATATTTGTTGATTGGTTTCATTCCTCTTTTATTAATATCATCAAAGTTTAAATATTGACTATTGCAGTTGCTTAATAGAGTTGCTTGAGATTAAACTTTTATCTTCACCTTATAACATACAGTACTTTCAGCTGTATGGAGGGTTTTATACAGATGAAGAACCCCACCCATTACCCACAAACACACACACACACACACACACACACACACAAAGGCAGAGCTCTTTTCAGCTCAACATCTAAGGAGTTGGGGCGTAAGAGTTTCAGTTTGGGTTCTTACTTTCAACCTGCAGACAACTGTTGGCCTCCTGGAATAAAAGGTTATTACCCACATTCAAATGGCTTAAGAACTAGTAGAAATAGAAATAGTTTGATGTGCTTCTCAGATGGGATTCTGCGGACCCCTGGGGGTCAGGGGATCTGTGAAAACATTCAGCCATTAGATTTATCCCGATAAATAGCTATTCTGTGTGGACATGGTGGAAATACATGTCTAATATTATTCTAAAGCTGCGTTTTGACTGCAGTAACTTTCCCATTGCACTATAGGAACCTTTGCAGGGACACAGGGTGCAAATTAAGCTCTGGGTAATTCTTTTTACACCCCCAAAAAGTAGGAAGACAGTGTATATAGTTTTAAGTAGGTCAGGGGGTGGGTCTTGCTGCGCTGAACATTTCTGGTTGGTCCGAACACTTGGATGGACACACATGCCCCTGTCTCCAAAAAAAGCATATTATCGATGGACCTCGGATTAAATCTGGGCTGTATTTAGTATTTTGGAAGAGGACGACATCGAGAGACCCAAAATGAGTCAAATGATGTCAAAGTCAAATGATGACATACACGGGTTCCCAGGATGTTCTCTATCTTGTAGAGGGTCTTTGGTTGAGAAAAAAAAAAAAAAAAANTACACAGTAAATAATGAATTTGGATCAAATAAGATTTAAAGAAAGACAGAAAAAATTGTTAAGAGTCACTGTGAAATAGATTCCTCAGGTGAGGTGGTTTCCTTGGTCACACTTTGAATGAAGTTCCATTTTTTTAATTTTATTTATGATTTGCTCAAAGATGATGTTTTTCTGGTAGGTTTGCAGATTCACAACATGATGTGATGATTTACTGCCCAACTTCATTATCTCATCTTAACTGGGAGTTGACCTTAAATCTTCCGGTGTGCAGACAGAAGCAGCGGTTTGTAGTTTTTTTAAGTTATAAAGGAAATCGCAGCTGAGGAGCTGAGAGCGTCATCCTTGGCGGGGCAGGGGAGGGGTCTTACTGTGGGTTTCATGGTACAACATTTAGTAAGCAAAGTAAGAAAGGATCCCTCTGTGCACAAGTTCGCTCATGAGCATAGGTTCTAGTTAAGGAACAATGCAGAAAATAAGAGGAGCGGCTACTTCTCTTTTTCTTGTGGGGTTAGTAATATATACTTTTACTGCTGACTTCTACCACAAAACATTCTCTAAATCAAGTACAGAAATGGTAAATGGTTTGTATTTATATAGCGCTTCATATAACGCTTTACAGTACAGTTTGCCATTCACCCATTCACACACACTCATACAGTATATGCAGCACTATTTTTTCTATGAGGGGCAATTCGGGGGTTCAGCATCTTGCCCAAGGACACTACGGCATGCAGAGTGGTAAGACGGATTGAACTGCCAACCTTCTGGTTTGGAGGAGGACCGCTCTACCCCTCAGCCACAGCAGTCAACAGAATGAGACATTTTGCCAAAAAGAGGAAGTGACATCATATTCTCGTGGCAAGTAAACCTGGTTACTCACATTACTTGAGTCACATTGTGTATTTCTCAACTTATGTGAAATAATCATACATACATTTTTATGTTTGTCACTTATTATTTCTCTACTTGATAACTTCTTGGGACATTTGATGGGGATATCTGGATGGATGTTGGTATTTTAGAAATGTGTAATGTCTTTTCAGGTTATTTTTAAGGCATTAACAGATATATGTCTTTTTTAATTTTTAATTCTAATTTTAAAAAAAAACATGTGTTACAAATAGAAGAGCCATGTTGGTATCCTGTAAAAATTACAAACAAATTTCTCAGTAAACCTAAGAAACCTTGTGCAGAACAACTGGACAGTTCAAGCTCTGATCTGGAAAAACATAGTCAACTTTGACTCTTCAATACTCCATGATGCTGCAACTACATGTTCAGTGAAGCTCATTAAGGAGTCAGAGCTGAGGCAGAGTGTAAAGACCGACTAAGTCTAACTCTGTATTGATGTTTCACGCTGCACTGGGTCAACATGAACTCACAGTTTATAGTCCTGTTGCTCTTAATCTCACTTTTAAAACATAGCACATAAAAACCAGATCTTCACCTTGAGTGGAATTCTTCTGTGATAAATTAAATGCATCTAAACAAACCAAAGATTTAAGTAATTCACTCTCCCTCCAACTTGATCATCGGTTTTTTTGCCTTGTGCTTTATGATTTATGACTTCATGGTTTCTGTTGGGAGGTTTTATGTTTTCCTACTTGTTGTAAGACTGGTGAAAGGGTGGTGAAAGAGTTGCTTTCCGGTCTTATGGTCTCACTCATATTTATGTGTTGCTCAACTTCCCCTTTAGGCCCAGCTGCCTGTGCATTCACCGATCAACCTGTTCCCGCTCTGACATCAAACAAACAGCCGTGTTGAAAACATAATGTTTTTTTAAATGTTTGTCTCCTTGTACCCAGCAGACAAATGGCACTCTAGATTGAGATGTTTTAAAAGATTGACACAACATGAGAAATGGCAGATGTCATATTTAGTCTGTATTTATTTAGTCTGTATTCATTTAAAACTAAATTGAATTTTTGGCAGCACCAATGAGTCAGGTAACGTAAATCTCCGAACTCTCGCTACGTCTAACAACTTTAAATTACAGACAGTAAATTGGATGTGGTTTGTTATTTCTGTGCCTGCCGCTTAATTCTCCCAGCCTCTACTTCAAAAACAAGCAAGCATTAATAACACACAAAGTGCATAATCTTTGTGTTTGTGCCCTCTTGTCTCCCATGCAGCCCCACTCACCAGCACCACGTTGAAGCGCTCCTCCAGCTCCTCCTCTGGCGGCATTGGCAGTTTGGGGGGAGCCGGCTGCTTCCTCTGCAAACTTGGCGCAGGGTCACTCATCCCTGAAGCTGCCCCGACTGAGTTCCTGGCCTCTCGGCCCTCAGCATGTTCCTGCTCCAAGGCCCCGGCGGCCGCATTCCCCATCACTAATCTCCACAAGTAATCCAGTGGGAAAGCTTTACGCAAACCCCTTCTCCTGAGAAATCAGTGAATTCCACAACAGGGTGACAAAAATAAGCGGTCGCTCCAAGTTACTTGAACAAGCAGGCCTAAAAAAAACCAGGTCTTTGGGTCTTGAGTGAGAAGAGCATCAAGCCGCTGGCCTACTGCCTCCTCAAAGGTCCTGAGGACAGGGTGGGAGATGAGAGAAGTTGCTTCGTTCTCATGTTTGTCCTCTCATCAACCTGTCACTCTGTGTGCTATTGAGAAGAGGGTAACAAGCAAAGACCCACAAATATCTCTACTCACTTTTTCTCTACGCTACTCGACAGAGAGCTGCTCTAGTGAGAGGGCTGCGTGTGTGAGAGGAAGGAGTGAGGACTGTGACACACAAAGTAACAGACAGAAACCGCAGCAGCTCAAAAGCAGAAGAGTAACTTCCTGTGCATGACAGCAACAGAACCTGGGGTGGAGGACAGGCTGAAAGATTGACATTGTAACTTTTGCTGTGCACACAATTAGGTGGATGATGATGGTGATGATGTTGATGATGATAAGAGGTAAATTAAGAATGAAACAAAGCAGAAAGAGGCTTGAGACATGCTAATCGAGCAGATGCAGATATAAAATGAAGCACAGGAAACTGTCCCTCACTTTACCATGAGTCCACCTGCATCACACTGGAGCCATTCATTCCACTGAAGACAGATTCACTTACATGGACCTGGGGTCACATTTGTTTTGGGTCATTTGCCTTCAAGTGAGGCCAGCATGTTCGTGGCAGTCAGATCAGGTGAAGAAACACAGTGACATGGTGGAGATGATTGCCTGACAGCGCCCCTTTGTGTTGTAAGACAAGTACTGCATGTAGGGCTCTTGTATTTGTGGCCTCTCGTATATAACATTCTAGGTGTTTTAAATCAGGCCTGTGGACAAGGATGACGTGAGAAAAATTAGGAAGATGTACATTCAGAAATAGAAACTTTATAGATATTATAGTTATATAAGACATTTATGAAATATTGGACTTTTAAGCGACACATCACAAACATTATGTTTAGACATTTTGTCCTGTTATTTCATAGACTAAATGATGTGAAATAACTTTTTCAATATCTCATATATAATGCACATTTACGGTATACATCTGTGTGTCATCATGAGCACACTTCCCTAATAATACATCTTATCTTATGTCATCTTAAATATTGCCATATTGTAAATTATGTTTATTTTTATTTTTTCTTAATTTATTACCCAGTCCTTTAAATAAAATAATTGATGTTTTTAGTCTTTAGTTTTAAGTGGTAGTTTTACTTAAAGGTTCAGTGTGTAGAATATGAAGTCCCATATTGCAGCTGACACACTAGTGAAAACATCACTAGGATTATCTTATATTCAGTTGCTGCTAATAGATTCCTTTCACCTGAATCTTACACACTGACGATGAGAATAATTCTCTCATCACAAAGAAGGGTTCGCTCCTCTGAAACTTTCCAAAGTGAAAGGAACTGGAATTGACGAGGTGCCCTGGAAGGCAGCAGGGCTATCGGTAATGTAGCACTATAAAGATGACGGACCCGACCGCGTCTCCTGAAGACCACTGGAAAGTAAGAAACTTTCCCGTCGGTTCATCTTCATCTTTCTGTTCACCTGACTCGCACGACTGTTGTGTGACAACAGCGATAAGTGACACAGGGTCGTGTGCCTGAAAGTTGACGTTTGGTTCAGGAGCAGAGCTGCGTTAGCTCCACGGCTAACGTTAGCTTGTTGTGAAGCTGTTAGCGGTTAGCTAGCTAGTTAAAGTAAACAAAACGCCCTGAGAGGGGAACTCGTTTTGTCCATTTACAGTTTATGTGTTCGTGAGTGAGAAGTAAGTGAGAAGATGATCAGTGTTTCCTTATTGTTTGCTCATTTTAAAGGTTCATGTGGGATGCAGCTTTATTGAAGAACTATAGCAACATGTAGAGTTGTTTTTTTCCCTTTAAAAGTTAGTGATCATTTTAAATCCAACACTGATGTAGCTTCAAAAATATATTTACTTGTATAAGTATTGCTTGAAGCTTTCGACAAGATCATGTATATCCATTATTTCTGTGGTATCTGATTGTAACTTTCAAAATTAAAAAGCGTATGAAAGTGAAGATTTATTGCATTTAATGTAGCATGTATTGTCGTTAGCTGTTAAAAGACACTGATGCAGCTTTATTCATTTGTAATTAGGAGGTGACTTGCTATCACACGTATTGACTGAAGCTGTAGAACAATTAATAAAGCTGTTGATCTTATCTTACAAAGTCTATTTTCAAATGTAACATTTCTTTTCCTTTTCTTTTAATGTAGTTCTTGTGTGATTTTGAGAGAGTGAAACCTAAAATATTCCTTGTCAAACACTGTCAACATGTAGCAGGAAGAAATAAAAGGCATTGTGTTTTACCCCCTGGTAGCATTAATGGAAACTGTTCCTAACTTTAGGAACCACAAATTGCAGTATTATTGTGTTTTGATGTCCTAGATCCAACATTGCACCTGTGATTGAAGTTGTGATTTGGTCCAGCTCTTTACCCGCTGCACACTTGAACAGCACAAATCAGGGCAATGCTCAGTTGGGGGTTCCGTCAATTTTATCAGAACCAGCTAGCAATTGGTTAATTGTCAGTAAATTTAGGGCAGCACAATTTTCCTCTAGTGGTTCCATCCTCTCAGCCTCTATTCTCACCTTTTTCCATCTTCTGTTGTCTGGTGATGGCGCAGCAAACAGACAGTGCCTTCAGCGACAGTGGCTTTGACCATAGTGAGTATTCAGTCTGTTTATATCCTGTATTTTGTCATATTATTCAATATTTAAACTGTTATTGGGATCTTGATTTTCTGCTGGTTTGAGATTATTTGGTCAATCTTGTTCTGGTCTTTTTTTTTTTTTGCTGTCTTGCTTTGTAGGTTTCTTCACTGAAACAGCCAGAAAGGGTACAGTGGTCTCCAGGGCCAATAGCATTGGCTCAACAAGTGCCTCTTCAGTACCAAACACAGGTATTGTGGTTGTAATAGCAGCGATTTACCGTTGTGGTTCAATATAGAATTTGTTCAACTTCAAGATTGTGATGGAAATGTTTGCTTGCCAACACCTCACACTGAATGATTTCTCTAAAATCTGTGTACTGTG